CCTGCTAGGAAGCCATGGAGCTAGTCCAGTAGAAGTGTAGGAAGATGGCAGTGAGACTCAAGAGGAGGGGACAGATTTTAGAAAGTTTGGAGTGGTGAGATTAACAAGACCCAGTAACCAAGCTTTTTATCTCTTCCCAAAAGACTTGGGGAAGTTTTCTACTACTGTCTCCTTTAATCATCTAATAAAATCATATTCCTCATTGTAGCTATATTTCAGTTGATTAGGAGAAGTGTTTTTGTTTGTAGCCAGGAGAGTTTCTATACTGATGCCCTAGACTTTGGCACACCCAGACTCTGGCAGACAAATGCAAGACTGCAGTCTAAAATGTGTTCAACCATGAGTCATTGTGCGACAGCAATTCTACATGGAGTTGAGAGAAATAAAGAGCAAAACTTAATTTCAGTAGACAGTCTTCAGCCATCTTAGGAAAACAAAAAGGCAATTAGAGTGAGGTACTAGCTGACCCCAACAAACCAAACTTGTGTATTTGATTACCTGATGTTTGGAGTTCTCTTACTGCCCAGTGTCTTTACCTCCAGTCTCTTTCTGCTCCAGATCATTCTTAAGTCCAATACATCAATGCATTGTTGATCCCATTGATAGGGATGATTACTACATGGATTCATGACCTACATCAGGAGTGTAAAACATGCAGCCCACAACATTCCCAAATGTGGTCTGAATCAGATTAAAATGTAGTTCCTATCTGATGTGGTTATGTAGTAATAAAAAAAGTCAAAAAAAAGTGTGGTTTTCTAAGTCATTATGCAGTCATTAGGAATCCTTTTGTATGGTTTAATGGTTTCCATTTCTATTTAGGTTTGACATTACTGATCTACATCATTGTGATTTATCCAAGCCTCCTTATCCTGTGTTTCTTGTCTGTCTTTCCATAAAATCTTCATAGAGTACCTACCCAATGTCCATTCTTCTCAGAGCTTCCAAAATAATCTTCCTAATAAATAAGTCTGAACGTGACACTCCTTTGCTCAGAAATCTCCAGTGGCTCCCTCTTATCTCTAGAATAGAGTATAAGTTTTTCAACCTAGAATTTAAGACTCTCCATAGTCTGGAGACCAACCTACCTTTCTAATCTTTTTCACTTACTTCTTCCCATTCATTCTCCATTGCCATATGAACCAGAACAGTATTTGTTCCTTGATCTTGTCCTCCTGCCTTCTGCCCAGTTCTCCTTACCTAAGATGCTTTCCTTCACATCTCTGCCTGTTGAAATCCTTCTTCTAAATTACTTGTTTCAGAGGATGTACAGCTAGAGCTAATCTAATCTAATCTCCTAATTTCATAAATTAGAAATCTGAGGCTTAAAGAGGTTCATTGCCTTCAAGATCCAGCTTGGGTGCCAATTCTTTATTAATGCCTTCTCAACCCAAGTCCAACCACTTACCAGTCCCAACTGAAAGTCATGCTCAGATTTTCTTATAGTACTTTATTCTTGTAGCACTTTTCCTCTCATTGTACTCCCTAATCAAGTTTTCTTATAGTACTTTGAGGATATCCTTTCCCTTTATCACATTCAACCTTGTAGCATATAGCATGCATATTTGCATACACATGGTTTCCACTAGAACTAATATCATTTTTTGTCTTTGTATACATGCTCTGAGCTAAGCTGCTATACTATATATAACTAGGTGTTTAATGTTGGTTGGATTAAATCAGTCTTATCTTTCCAACCATACTATGAGCTCCCAAAAGTCTCTTCTTCCTGAATCTTCTGTAGCACCTACCACATGGTTAAATACACAGGTATACAGTCAATCTTGAGGTTGAATTGGCACCATAATGTAACCATGGAATAGGACAGATTCAAAACAAAAAATTTGAACCCCAAATCCAGTTTTTACATTTTAGAGGCAGGTGTGTTTTTGTTAAGGGGCCAATGACCACACACACACACACACACACACTACAGGGAGGGATGAGGTTAGGGGCCCAGCAAGAGTTTCCATGGCCATCTTCCATCTATATCCTTACTCCTCTCATTCTACAAGCTGGTTAATATTCCTCCTGAAAATAAGCCTAGGAATGGGTATACGTAGTTTTTCTTGTCACATATTTGACAAGTATATGTCATTCCCAGGTTCTACAACTTCCCCTACTTTAGTCCCACCTCCTAACACACATGGTAAGTGCTTTTATTCCTCTGTCCTGAAGATTATATTCTCCTTATCGATCTTTTCCTAATTGGTCTAAAACAGGGGCTACATAGGATTATCGGACATAGAGAGAGAATCTTAGAAATAATCTAGTCAAACCACCTCATTTTACAGATGCAGAAAAATAGGCCCATGCCTGACTATGGATTTGCTACAATGATTTTCTTTTTCTTTTCTAGTGTGTAGAGGAAAAGAGAGAAAATAAAAATTTAATAATAATAATAAAAAGAAACAAACTGAGGCTCAAAGAGGTTAAGTGATTTGCCTAAAGTCACATCCAAGCATCAAAGCCTGGGTTCAGACCTAGGTCTTCTAACTCCAAATCCAAATCCATTGCTCTTTCTACTGTATCAGAATGTTATGTCACATGTATCCACACTTGTCTAAAATGTTGCAGGTGTAGGAGGAACATAGATCTTAGAAAAACCGTCCTAGTCTGGGTGACCAAGGACCAGGAATAGGAAGGGCATGGGAAAATCAAGATTAGCATAGCCTGGCCATGGAAAGGTTGTGAATTAAGGAGTTTTGAAATGGTCCCTTCAGTCACCTAGGAAAAGCAGGAAAAAATAAAATAAAAGAGATGCCATTTATAAACCTGAGGCAGCTAGCTGGCACAGTGGATAGAGTGCTGGGCCTGGAGTCAGGAAGATCCAAGTTCAAATCTAGCCTCAGACACTTACTAGCTGTGTGACCCTAAGAAAGTTACTTAACCCTGTTTGCCTCAGTTTCCTCATCTGTAAAATGAACTGGAGAAGGAAATGGCAAACCACATCAGTATCTTTGCCAAGAAAAGCCCAATAAGGTCACGAAGATTTGAATATGACTTAAAATAATGACAACATTTACAAAACTCCCTTTTAATTCCCTCTAACCTCCTCAGTAACAGAGTTGTATAAAACAAGGTGCACCTGTTCTTCCTAGTCTCTAGGCTAGAACCTTTTGGGGAAGCTCTGGCCTGTTTCCTCATACCCAGTCTAATTTCAAATTAGGAACAGAGACTAAGAATATGGCAGAATAGAGGGAGGTTAGCTTTTGGGTGGTGAATGGATTCTGAAGCATAGGAGCATAGGTTTAGGGCTGAAAGTTACTTTATAGGTCATCTCCTTGAACCTCTTCATCTTACAGATAAGGAATCTGAGGCCCAGAGAGGTTATCTGCCCAAGGTCACATAGTGGCCAGGAGAGCAAGGCATGAAGTAAAAAGGAGGAAGAGACCTCTCCTGGGATACTGGGGACTGGAGAGAAAGCTAACCCAACTGTGAGCCTGGAAAGGCAATGCCTCCACCCCATACCTCCTTCCCATGACCAGCCTTTTGAGGAGGATTGGGGTGAGGTCCCTCCTTTGTCCCAGTTTGGGGCTTCTTCACTAGGCCAAGAGAATCTTCAGTTGCCATGGAAACAGTGATGTCACCAGCAGAGGCAGAGCGCCAAATCTCCCACCATGGGGGAGGGGGACAAGGAAGGAGAATTTAGGGGATAGAGAACAGGGCCAGAGGAATAGGGCATAGAAACTGGGGCATAGGAGACTGGGAAAGGGCAAAACGGTAGGAAGAGATAGACAGGTGGTCTTGGGAGGATAAGAACACAAAGATGGAATATGACTTAGAGAAAGGAACCCCATTTTCTTGATTATTCCTAGGTTTTATGATCTGGGGAAGAGGGAAAGGGAAAAGAATCTTTAGACTGGTAAAGAGACTGAAGGGTTTGGGGTGTTGAATTACAGAGGCAGGAAGAAAGAGTAGGTGAAGGAGCCCTGATTTCCTCTGTCATATGCCTTATAAACGGGAAGTTCTTCCTAGTGTCTAACCTCAATCCATTCTTCTGTAGGTCCAGCCCTCTTTATTCTTTTTCTTCCCCCACTTGAGATGAGGGTTACCCCCACTCCTATCCTTATCCCTTTAGGAGTCACCCTGACTGAACAGCCTGGCTCATTTTGAAGCCTCTGATTCCTTCCCTGATTCCTCCTTATGTGAACCAGAGCTTCTAGACAATTGCTTCAGCTTCTCCTCCCTTCTCTCTCCCCTCCTAAAACTCACAAGGGGAACTCTGAGTTCCCATGACGGGCCAGTGAAGCTTTCTCTGGAGGTGAGGAAGGTTCAAGAACATGGGAACTGCTAGAGTCCTCATCCAAAAAGTCACTCAGAACAGACATTTTCCGGCTTATGATCACCTATCCCAGCCACCCAGACCAGGCATGAAGTGACCTAAACTGGTAGGCAGCGACACGGTCGGGATGGGAGTAGGGGGCGGGGCGGGAGGAACTAGAACGCGAGGTGGGGAAACCCGTTCTCCAGGCGCCTTCCTCACCACCCCCACCCCCAGCCTCCATGCTCCAGACTCAGTGGGCTGGAGACCCGAACACCACTCTACGTGTCACTAACACTCGTTCCCAGTAGCTCGCATCCGCGCACACGAGCACGCGCGCACACACTGGTGTGTGCTGGGGTTGGGGTTGGGAGAAGGAAGGTTTGCGGAGGCGGGGGTGGCAAGCGAGGAGGGGCTTGGGGGGGGGTCGTTCTCTCTCTCTCTGTAGCTCCGCAGGCGAATCCCTGCTAGCCCCGCAGCAGCAGCTGCGGCAAAAGCCACAGCGTCAGGACCAGAGCTGCTGCCGCTGGGTCCCCTCAATTAGCTCCACTCACCCGTTCCCTACAAGGCGCTGCGGGTTCCTGGGCCCCCCTGCCGTGCAGCTCACATCCTTCACTTCAGAACCTCGGACAGCGTGGGGAGCTGGGAGTAGAGCGCGCCTGGGGCGCACAGCTAGGAATGCCCAGGGGCATGCAGGTGCGGAGCTGCTAACACCCCGGGGCCCAGGTTGGGGCCCATGAGCACGATGCGTCTACTGTTGCTCGCCCTGCTCTTCTCTTGTTCCTTCGCCCGCGCCGCTTGCGACCCCAAGATCGTTAACATTGGTGCAGTTCTGAGCACCCGAAAGCATGAACAGATGTTTCGTGAGGCTGTGAACCAGGCCAACAAACGGCATGGATCCTGGAAGATACAGCTCAATGCTACCTCGGTCACCCACAAGCCCAATGCCATCCAGATGGCCTTGTCTGTGTGTGAAGACCTCATCTCCAGCCAGGTACCCTCCCCCTCCTCTGGGGCTCTAATCCTAGTCCCTAAATCCTTTCCCCCTCCTTCACATCATTCATACCCATCACATACAACCCCTAACTCTCTCATTTGTCGTGCTGTGCTGTTTCATATCCTTCAACGTCCTCCTTAATCCCTGTCTCTTTCCTCTCATTCTTCCTCTCTCTCCCTCCTCCCTCTTCTCCCATCCCAACCCATCTCCCTTCTCTATTCTCCCCCCTCTTGCCTCCACTATCTTTTCTTCCACCACTCTCTTCATCCCTCTTCATCTATCACCATCTCTCCCCTTCATTTCACTATCCTTCTCTCCATCCCCTCCTTCTCCATCATCCTCTTCATCTCTCTTCTTCCACTCCATCTTATTCCTTTCCTTCCATTTTCTTCTTTCTCCCTTCTTTCCATCATTCTTCTTTCAGCCACTTATCCACCTTATCACACCCTCTCCTCTGTATCCTCCTCCTCTGCAACCTCCTACAATTCCTTTTTTCCTGTTCATCCTCCTCTACCTCTTCATTTCTTTCCTCCTTCTCCCCTCCAGTCTCCTATCATTTCCTTCCTCCCTTAACTGGCTTCCTCAGATCGAATATCTTCCCCAATGATCATTCCATTTGGCTCCAGATTCCCTCAATGTCATGTCAGAAAAAACGTCTTTGTAAAGGACTCTAATGCAGGCAGCCATCTGTCCATCTATCCATTCCTCCACACCTTTGTCCCCAGGTCCAGTATTTGAGTAATTATCTTGCTGCCCTCATCAGTTCTCAGAGAAGCCAGAGCAGACATCTGGTATGCACTGAGGATTTTGTTGGGGGGGGGGGTGGAGAGAGGAAAAGAGGAGGAAGGAAGGAAAGGAGAGGAGAAAGTGAGAAATAGAGTAGGAAAGTGGATAGCAAAAGAATGATGGAGAAAAGAGAAAGAGGAGAAAGGAGGGAGGGAGGAAGAGTAAGAGAAAGGTGGAGGTAGGGAAAGGAGAGAGTGGGAGAGTGAGAACAAGCAGGAGAGAGAGGGAGGAGGGGGGAGAGGGAGGGAGAAAGGAGGAATAGAGAGCAAGAGAGAATGGGAAAGCATGAGAGAGACAGACAGACAGACAGAGAAGGAGAGAGAGAGAGAGATCATTCTGTGTTTTAGTGTGTGCTGGGTGTGAATGCCTGAACAGCAGTCATGAACTCACAGAATGGAGCTTTAGGAGAGGACCTGAGGCCATCACTGTGTCCTTCTGTCTTATCTTATGTCTTATCTTTTAGTTCCCTCAAATCTTTCTCTGCCTCTCTCATTCTCCCTTCTCCATACATCATAATATTAGTGAATATCTACATGGGAAGAGAAAATGGTTGTCTTTCTATGTTGCTGTTACACATATAACTGTTATACGTGGGGACAGGTACATGTGTGGTTCTACATGGGTTTGTATGAAATATATATGCAGTATACTGTGCTCACAGTGTGTGAATACGGGAATGTCACAGGTGTGTGAGACATATTCTTTTGTGTATGGTATATATACACATACATCATACACAATATATATGTATATATACAAATATATGTACTTGGCTCTGTAAAGTGTACATAGAGGTTATATGCTCTGTGTGTGTGTGTGTGTGTGTGTGTGTGTGTGTGTGTGTGGTGTACATAGGGAGGAGGGGTTCACAGTAAGGGGAAGGATAAGTTAACATAGCTTCCCTTGTGTCTGTCTAAAGTTATCCCTCCCCTGGAGCTCAGCTTCCTTTTGAATTCCAACAAAGCCAAGAGGATTACCCGCAATGCAGTCCTTTATGTAAGAGACAGTGAGACACAGAGACAGAGAGACACACACTCAGAGACAGAGATCCTAAGGCACAGGTGCCCACACACAGTGTGTGGCATGCTAAGCAATGTGTACCTAATTCAGGAAGTGTCACTGTCAAGGTCCTAATTGTAAAATAATAAAATGGCCCCCAGCTCCCAACCCACCACTGGACCTTCCCACTATATCCAGAGTTCACTCCCCTGTAATCACCTCAGCTCTCTGTCCATGTGCCAAGTTATACTCAATGACCCTCTCTCCAGAATGTCCATTCATGTAGGAGTGGGGTTCTGCTTGCTCTCAGGTTCCTCCTAAGACCACTCACCCAAGCTGACACAAAGCCAGATCCAAGCAGTAGGAGGTGAGGGAGTGTGAAGTAGTGTTGCCTTGTCAGAGATTGTGGGGGCTGAAGAATAGATGGAGGCACCCAGCAGGGAACAGCTGTTCCCTATGACAGTGTTCCTTGTGGAGGAGGAATGAGGGAAAAGGAGTACCTTAGATCCATGCCTCCAAATTACCACTTACCAGATCACAAGGGGATGGGGAGTTAGGAGGGGACAGTACATATGTACATGGGAGCAAAAGTGTTTTCAGGAATCAGATTCACAATCTATTTACCATTCTTCTCACAACCAGACTGATTGTTTAGCTCCCAGGCGCTCATTTATGAGACCACATCTGTAGCCAGCAATTTGGCTCACCAATATCCCTGCCTAGGAATGTTGATGCAAAGGGGCTGGGACCAGCACAGGCCAGTCCAGTTAGGCTAGGGAGACCTACTAGTTCTGCTTCTCCTCATTTTATTGTTGAAGAAACTGAGGCAGACAGAGGGTTAAATGACTTGCCCAGAGTGGGTCACACAGATAGTATGTATCTGAGAGGCCAGATTTGAATTCAAGTCTGTCTCCAGATCCAGCTTCCTATCAGTGGAGCCACCAGTTTTTTCTGAACTAGATGACCTATAAGATCCCTTAGAGCTCTAAATCTGTGATCCTATGACAAATTAGTAGTGGTGTCCCAGTTAGTGCCAGTTCATGGGGAAGGACTTAGGTAATTGGAGACGTTGTAAAAATCAGGAAAGGGAGGGCCTGATTACTTAGCTGTGAATTTGTCCTTCCTGGATAAAGAAAAGACAGCTTCCTAGGCCCTTGTTGATATGTGCAAGATTCACATCTTCTTTATGTTGCTATGGTCTACTGGGACCCCCGGGGCCTTTGGGAGAGGGGTTCCCCTTAGTGGGGACTGCTCACTCCACCAACTAGGGGAAACTCCAGCGATATCTTGATTTTATACCTACTAAAAATCAACCTATCACTGATCAACACGCCCATGAAGAGGTCAGTGGCTAGAAACTGGCTCTCATTCCCCAAGGTGGGCCCTTTATGTTTCCTTCAGCCACTGAGTTCTGACAATTGAATGGGGGAAGAAGGGAGTTGGAGGAGGGTTTCAATGCCATTCTGAGAATTTGATTTGTACCCTGTTCTTTCCAGCTTGGCGTTCTCACTCCCACGCCTTCCTCAGAGTGGGCAGACTCTTAGTCAGACCCTATAACAAGAAACAGGGAAACACCCCTTTCCCTGAAGGTCTGAGCTTCCTTTCCAAATCTATCAGTCAGATAGGTTTGCCTTACCTTCTTTGTCTTGCCTTACCCTGCTTACCTTCTTACTACCCAGCTCCCTCAGATGTCCTCTGCTCCCCAGTTTCTGTACCTCTTTAATGCCTCAACAAAGATATGGCCAAAGCAGGCAGGTAATACCCTACAGATGTGTATGGAGGCTGGTTCTGATAGCTTACTCTCTGGCCTCTGCTTCTCTGAATCTTAGCTAAGGCTCTGCTGATCCTGGATTCTGTCATTTTCACTAATGGTCTCAGAGGGGGCTTTACAGTCCGAGTGTTGTAATGAGATTCTGATGAAATCTTGTATATGAAACACTTTGGGAAATGTTAATGCCAGCTATCATTATCATTATTACTATTACATGTGCCTGTATGTATACTATGCGGGAGACCAGGGTAAGGATGGGGGGGGGTCTCTGTATGTGATTATATGTATGTTTAGGCAATGTATGCATATAAGGCATATATGTCCATATGTAGATATTGTTTGGTAATGGTGATGGTGGTGGAGGTATGCATGTGTGTATGTGGAGGGGGGGGAGGTACCTCCAACTTTGGGCAACCTCCTGTGGCTTTTTTTATTTCCCTCAGCCCTAGTTTCTACATCCTCCGACATCAGTGGACTCAACTTCTGCTTGCCAGCCTTGGCCTCCATTTGTCAACAGCCAGTATGGTGGGAGGGTGGGCTCATGGGCAGTGCTGGCTGGCATGCCTGGGCCCCCCCAGACCCACAACCCCCACTGACCTCATATCCTATGTCCACAGGTCTACGCAATCTTAGTTAGCCACCCACCTACCCCCAACGACCACTTCACTCCAACCCCCGTCTCCTACACAGCCGGCTTCTACCGCATCCCCGTCCTGGGGCTCACCACCCGCATGTCCATCTACTCCGACAAGGTAACTCCCGCATGTGCCCCTCGATGCCCTGGTCAGCACTCTGCCCTGCATTGTGTGTCAGACTGGGGTAGACCTGGCCTATGGGCAGCAGTTCTGTGGCTAGAGACAGCTGACTGATAACCTCAGGCCTCAAGGAATCTGGGGGCCAGAAGTGAGCAAGAGAGAGGAAGAAAATCGGGTCTGAATGGGCAGTAGGTGAGTGGTGGTACAAAGGAGGAACCCTGGGACTAGTAGTCCTGAGCACCCCAGCTCTTCCAGCCCCCACGTGAATGTGGGGTCCAAATGGTTTCCCTCTGGGGCTACGCATGACCCTAGGAGGAACCCAGATCACTTTATGTCAGTGGCAAAGGCTGGAGGGCCCTGCACAAAGCGGAGGGTGAGGGAAAGTTCCCTAGTCTAAGGTGTCCAATAACCAGCCACTAGACAGCATTTCCAGGATGACAGAAAGGTTGCTTCCGAGGTCCATTAGCCAAAGCCAGCAATTAAGAAGGCCAAGCAGTCATGCCTGATGCTCAGTGCCTTCATCGCACCCCCAGCCCTAGAAGAAGATAGGGCCAAGACTTTTCTTCTGGGAAAGGGAGACCAATGCCTATCTGCTCTCCTGCTTGGCATGAAGGAAATAAGTTTGCTAGAAAAGTTACCATGTTTCATGACCAAATATCACAGTTTGTCCACTCAAGACAGTCCATAGAAGATGCTTTAATGAGCTTCGCCTGCCTCCTTGTCATCCCCCAGACCTTATTCCTGTGCTGCCCCACTGGAGGGCCAGCAGTTTTCTCTGAGATTACATAAAGGGATGTTAAAGTCTAGCCCCAGCTCAGGACTGGGTCATTTGGGGCACAGAGGGGAAACACATTCCCTCCCCTCCTCCACCTACCAAATTCCAGGGAGCCAATGTTGAAACAAAAAGAAGGCAGTTTCAGGGCCAAGTAAATCCACTTCACACAGTGGGGGGCCTTCCCTCATTAATCAATCAACACCTGTTTATTGAATGCTTACTGTGCTTTATGCTGGGGAGACAAAGATGTAGGAGGCAGAGTCCTTTGCCCTGAAGACTGACCAAGCACAAGAAAAGAGAGGTAATTCAAGATCCTGTGAGATCAGTGCCCAGCAAATGCCTCAATCTAGCAACCCTTCAGGGAATTGAGTAGACAAAGAACATTATGACCTGGGGCTGTCAGGGGACTTTTCATGGAAGAGCTGCCCAGAGACTGGAATTGGGATCTAAAGACTAGAAAGAGTTTAAATAAGTGGAAAGGTATGGGGAAGGGCATTCTAGATTTGGAGGTAACAAAGTACCCACTGCATTTAAGGACCAATGAATGAAGTGAACTTCAGGCTAGAAAGGACCTTAGAGATGAGATCATTAATCCAACCCATTCATTGTACAAATGGAGAAATTGAGTCCTTGAGGGGAGAAGTGACTTGCTCAAGGTCTCTGACAGACAGCTCTGAATGATGAAAGTCCTTTCATATCTGGGCTCTCAAGATCTGCCCCTGGGGGGGAGGTGTCATCCCCTTCATCACCATCATTTGAAAACTATGCATGCATTTCTTGGGAAAATCATTCTGCTCATAGATCATTTACAGGACACTGGAGTGGTTAAACACCATGACAAACACAATCACTAAATCAAACAGATGCCTCTGGGAGCTACAAGAACTTGGATGCATAGGTGGAGTACATCCCTGGATCAAGGAGTGTCCCTCGGGCACCCTTTCCAGGAGTTCCTCAGGCCTGAAAATCACAGAATGGGAAAAAATAGACACACAGAGAACAGTCTTTTCATCTTATAAAGCCCAGGAGGGAAGGAGAGCCTACGGAATGAACCCTATACCTTTCAGTTAGTATAAGGGAAAGTATGTTGAAGAAGAAGGGACTGTCTGCCCCAAATTCCAATGAAATCATCTATAATGTGCTCTTCTATGACTACAAAAATATCTTAGCAACTTGTCAAATACTAATCAGTTTAGCATTCTCAGAACTCAGCCCTTCCCCTGGGGAGAAGAGAACTAAAGGAGGAGCTAGATAAGGTAGATGTTCAACACTCAAAAGAGGAGCTTCAAGGCTAGGTACCCCCAAACAGGGCTGAGATAGAGGAAAGAACTGAAAATTAGAAGCCACTTTAAACTATCCCAGATGAGACCATCTGTGGACAGATTTTCACTAGATCAGAGATCTGGACTCTGTAAAGCTCACTGATTTCTCTAATTTTGTGGTTCTTAAGGCTATTGGTTGTTCAACTGATGGTGGCAAGTTGGGGGAGGGGGGGAAGGCAGTCCAGCTGGTGATTTTGCTTTTGTAGTCTCTTAGTGAAAGTTCCTTTTAACAAATTCCAACCTTGTCTTGACTAAAACAGGAAGGAAAGGTTTTTTCCTTGCCTCTCCCAGCACAGGCAGAGATAAGCACAAGCTTGGAGGCTTGGTGGGGTGGCAACAGTGACCTTGTCAGCTCCAGAGGATGGGGAAAGCCAGCACTGCTGGAGACAAAGAGGATTGGAAGCCCTTTATGTTGAAGGTTTGAAGGTCACGTTGCCCTGTTATGTCACTTCTACCCATTGGTCCCAGTTCTACTCTTAAAGACAAATGGGACAAGTCTAATCACTTTTTCACATGACCGCCTTTCAGATATTTGAAGACACATAGAGCACAGTAACCCTTAGTCCCTCTCACTGCCTAGATCAGTTTATCTTACCCCCAAGTTTCAAAAATATCTCAGGTTCCTGCAATGATGGACACTTGGATTTTTTTTAAATCATTTACACAAGTACACAATGAAGGAAGAATGAGTGAGTAAATAGCAGATCATGTGAAAAAGACCTGGGGATTTTAGTGAATTGTATGCTCTGTATCAGTTAAGGGTGTGATACAACAGCCCAAAAAAACCTCCTACTGTAATCTTAGGTTACATCAAAAGAAGTACAATATCCCAAATGAGAGAAGTCATAGTCCCACTGTACTGTGCCCTCATCAAGCCACATCTGGAGCACTGTGCTTAGTTTGAGGATTCAGGTTTTAGAAGGTACATGGATGAATTTGAGCATTTCTAGAAGAGAAAACTATGAAAACTATTACCACCAGCATGATAAGGGGACTTGAAATCAAATAACATGGGGACCAAATCATATAGTGAAGGAATTTGGGATGTTTAGCCTGGAGAAGAAAAACCTTATAAGGGGACATGATATCTGTCTTCAAATATCCAAATGGTTGTCCTGTAGAAAAGATCAGGCTTATTCTGTTTTTTCCTAGAGATCAGAACCTAGGACCAATAGGCAAAAGTTACAGGGAGACAGATATTGACTCAAAAACAAAGGAGTTCTTGACAAAAAGAACTTTTTGAAGCTAGAATGGGCTCCCTTGGTATTCCATTACTTGAAATGTTTGAGCAGAGGTTCAATCATCACTTGGCAAGGATGCTGTAAATAAGCAGTCCAGTGTTGGGTTAAAGTTGGGCTGGGTGGCCTTTGAGGGACTTTACAAATAAAAATTCTGTGATTTTGATTTTAAGGTGTGGGAGGGAAACAAGAGGTAAGGGGGTAGGGAGCATAGAGACAGAAGCGGTACCAAGAGGGATCCCATGACTGGGACAGTGCCTAGTCTCTTAGACCGGTAAGTGTTAGCCTGGCCAGCGGTGGCATGAGTTGGGGAGAATGGGAGGATCTGGGTGAAAATATCTGCCCTCTCAGTTTCCAATTGACTCCCCAGCCTCCATCCAATTAGGGACCCTTTGCTCGTTTCCCATCCCCCAAAATCCCAATTCCCCTCAAGCCTCTGCTCTCCTCAATCTCTTACCTCTCAGGCTTCTCTCACCTCTTAGGTTCTCCCACCCCAGACTCTGTCTCTCCTTGGCCTCCACATCCCCACACTCCAGGACTCAAGTCCTTCTAGCCACTTGCTCCTTTGGCCTACGTATAGTCCTGAACTCTGGTCCCCTTGGCCTCTATGCTCCTGAGTCCCTGTTCCCTACCCCAGTTCCTACACACACACACACACACACACACACACACACACTCACACACACACACACACAGACACACATACATACACACACATACTATAGCTCCCGTCCCCCTCAGTCTCTCCTGTGCCCCCTACAGAGCATCCATTTGAGCTTCCTTCGGACTGTGCCTCCATACTCCCACCAATCAAACGTCTGGTTTGAGATGATGCGTGTCTACAGCTGGAACCACATCATCCTCATTGTCAGCGATGACCACGAGGGCCGGGCAGCCCAAAAGCGCCTAGAAACACTTCTGGAGGAGCGGGAGTCCAAGGTGAGGGGGACAGGGGTGGTTGAGGGAGGCAGCTGAGGCGAGGAGCAGAGGGCAGAGGCCGCCTGGGGCAGGGCCGCAGTGTCTGTAGCTCCTATGTGTAAAACACCCTTCTCTTTCCATTGTGCCATGGCTGGCATCACCATGTCTGACGAGCGCCCAACCCAATCTGTACTTGGTTCATTTCACGTGCTTTGCCATAGTCGAAATCTCCCACGTGTCATCCCTACTGGCAAAGGGTCACATAACCTGGAGTTCTGCAAACACCACCCTGCCCCTGCCTCCAGGAGCCCCTTGGGCTGAGTGTGGGGGGCTTCAAGCAGGGCTGTTCTCCTCTGCACCCTGGCATGGAGCCCCCTGCCCTGGAACTGTCCCTGTGCTCACTAATACATCTCCCTGGGCCATGTGCCTAGAAAGTGGGCATAGGCCAGTCCACTGGAGTCCCTTCAAGTATACTTCCCTCCTGAGTGTGAGTCAATGAGCCATGTAGCCCAGCCCTTAGCTCTGTTTGTTTCTTTAGAGAGCTCACTTTGATGATTGGGAGGTAGCATGGTATGTTGGAAAGAGCACTGACTCTGGAGTCAGAGGCTCTAGGTTCAAATCCCTTCCTCTGACATTTACTGCCTGTGTGACCTTGAACCAATCATTTAAACTTCCATCAAACTCAGTTTCCTTCTTGGTAAAATGAGAGGTTTGGACTAGTAGGCCTCTGAGTTCCCTCCAGGCTCTAAGTCTATGATCCTATTATTCACCTCACCCCAAGCCTGGGAATGGGAGGTCTTTATCTGGGCATGGACCTTGGAGCTCTTAAATCCACCCAACCTCTACAATCTCCAGGCCTCCTACTCATCAGAACTCAACCAAGACAAATCTCAGAGAGTCACAGCACTCCTGAGACTGGCCACCCAGACACAACCTCTTTGGGACAGGGACCCTATCCCAGAGAAGGGCCCAGGCTCTAGCCCTTTTCTCTCTCCCCTTTCCCAGGTACCTGATTCTCCCTTCCTAAGTCTTATTTCTCCAGCTATTCTGGGGCATGGGTGGAAAATTGCCCTTAGCACAAATGGAAAAGAGGTTGAAGTGTTTCCCCATGCCCTTGGAGTCCTACCTTTCCCTCTGTGTTCTCCCTGGCTTCTCTACTCTCATCTTCCCTTTCTTGTGCCCTCCTATATCTTTCCCACCACCAGTGCTGGGGATCTAAGGACTGAAGCATTTAGTCTCCATTTCCTTCAGAGGTGCTGATATTCATGCTTTCCAATCAAGCCCTCTCACCCTCTACCATGACCTCAGTTCCTTTGGTTCATGACTATCAACCCTGGTCATGAACCAAATCTTTGAATGCACCATTGCTTCCTTGGATTAAGAGGGAAGCCAGAGACTTATCCTACACATATCCCCATTCTGTCCCGTGTCTGTACTCAAGACAACTCTTGGGCTCAATTAGGGTGTTTGCCAGTCCAGAACTAATGTTAGGAGAAACAGGAAGAGAGGGGATTCTGGGGCTGGGGGCCCTGGGAAATGGGGAAGACATTAGGGCACTCTTCAAATTTTGACCCATTTTATAGATCCTTGGAGGTTGGCACCCTTTCTAGCTGACAGAGAAGTCATGAGAATGGGTTTTCTGGAGTTAGGGATATCTCGCTAGGACTGGGAGCTCCTGAGATCAGGGGTCATGTCTCCCCTCTCAAGTTAGAAAAATATAAACAGTGGGCCCCCCTCCCCCAGTGATCAATGTTAGAATCATCCTTATTTAATATTTTTAAATAAATAGTCTGGAGTAGGAAATGCACAATGAAATCTATGCATTTGTAGGTGGTGCTAAGTTTTGTTTTGTTTTGAGAAACAAGGTGATACATTGGACAGCGTTCTGGACTGGGAGCCAGGGTCTTGGCTCTGCCTCTAACACAATGCATATATGACCTTGAGAAAAATATAACCCTTCTCTGGGTTTCAATTTATGCACTTGCAAAATGAGGGAGATAATACAATATAATAGGGAAACATTTATTAAGTACGTACTATGTGCCAGGCACTGTGCTAAGAAATAAGACTAGCTGTTCTCTAAGATTTCTTCCAGAAAACTGACAACTCTGTGACTCCATAACTCTCATACAACCTATAATGCATTTACACCAGAATACTGATCCTTAGAATAGATATAAGACTCTTACAATAGATACTAGAAATGGTCTCAAAGGAAGGGGAGAAAAGTCTGAGGGCCCAGAGGGAGGGCAGAGAAAAAGACTAATTTGTAAATACAAAGGCAGAGAGGAGAGATTTGGGCTTATAAAATTACAGAGGGGAGAGGCCCAAGGAAGACTTGGGGCCTGTTTGCCAAACCTCAAATATTACACTTAGGGTGAGTAGAGTGGAACATGAAAATGAATCCCAGGCTATCTCACTTTACTGATTAGGGAGTGAGCTGAAGAACCTTGTTCCTCAGAATTGCTACAGGCTGGAAACACAACCTATGGCAAATTCATAGCAGATTTGTAACCCCTCCTCCAGAGACATATCAGTAAGATTTGGGAAGACCCTATAACTTTTAAGTTTGACCCATATACTTTTAGTCTTTTGCGCAAGGTCAAAGCTGCAGGTCTTTCCATATTGTACAGAAAGGTTTCTTGAGGAAGGGTCACAAATTACAAAGGAAGCTGGGGATTGGGTGATGGGGGAGGGAGGGAATGTTCCTGACCCATGTGGTGATGATATAAAATACAACCAGGGCCTTTCCCAAATACACACACACACACACACACACACACACACACACACACTCAGTGCCTCATCCTAAATGTTCTGCCCAGAGAGCTCATAGCTCATAGGTCGTAGCTCAGGCTTTCATTCTTAGCAGTGAATTGGTGGCAGGGTGGGGTGGGCAAGTGGCTGCTATTGGGAAGGATGCATATCCTCTGGAAAGTCTGAGGACAGCCCAAGCAGGGTTTGTCTACTTTGGGCACTGCCTGTGGGCCCCGATCACACAATTTTTTTCTGTTCTGCCTGGCATTGCATCAGTCTCACAAGCCAATTCATCAGTACTTCATAGCCACTTAGGGAGGAGAAATGAGATGGAATTTCCTTTTCTCCCTAGATAATTTCATGCAGCTATCACCCTCCTGATTGTCTAGGTTCTTAACGACTAGCATATAGATTCTACCGTATGTGTGTGTGCATGTATATATGTATATGTATATGTATATATATATATATATATTCCTCCTATCTGTGTGTATATATGAAACAGTCATACACTCTTCTCAAGACAGTCATACACTCTTCTTAAGACCTAGTTCTCCATATATTGTCTGAAAATTTAGACCAATCCAATCCAACAGCCATCTCCTACAGTGAAGCCCAATATTCAATTGTGCTCACTGGAGGAAAGGCAGAGCTGTCAGCCCCTCATACATCTTGGAATGCAGATGGTAGACCATGGATCAGGATATATAGTGACACAATTTTGGACAAGGATGGGTTGGAAATGGGGACACACAAGGACACAGACTGAGTGACATATGGGTAGGGGGAGGGGAGCGGGATCCAAATGCCAACACACTTTTCTTTCCCCAAGGTATGAGCTATTTCGTAATGCCTAGCTCCTTGGACAGGAGCTGTCCCGCCAGCACCAGTCTCCCCCACTCTTGGTCCCCGCCCCTCCCTGCCCTAACTCTCCCAGGGGAAATATGGTGTTTGCAAGCTCCATGGCTACGTGGCCCTCATGCAGACCGTGGAGAGGCGGTGATGTTGGATTTGCTTTAGTGCTCGTCATTTTCAGCTGTTTATAATCTTCTTCTGTGTCTGCATATTTTCTCTGTGCACATTATCCATCAGAGTAAAAAAAGGAACTATGAAAACCTCGACCAACTTTCCTATGACAACAAGCGAGGACCCAAGGTATCTTTGCATGGACGTGCACGCCGCCCACCGACCTAGGTAGTCACTGAGGTGCCTGTGAGAGTCACAGACACCAGCCCTCAGGCGTTCGCCTTCGCCTTTGAGCGAGAGGGCTTTAACCAAACAAGGAATAACTCTAAAGTCGAGGCAGGCTGGTGCTGGCAACATGGGCGCACGTGGCGGTGCCGAGCTGGTAGTTTTGTTTGAAGAGACAGAGAGAAAGACAGAGAGAGAGAAAGAAAGAGAGAGAGAAGCACAGTCAGCTGGAGGAGGAGGACGAGCTCTCTCTGGGAAATGCATGTGAACCGTTGGGACCCGCCAGGGTTTCCTTTTTGAAACCCGGGAGGGAGCCGCCCCTACCTGGTCACCTGGGGACGGGGCTACTCCTGCTGGCCACTGCCTAAATCGGGGCCTTTGCGGATTTCCCGCGGTTCTGGAAAAGACGCCCCCGTCTGAGTTCCCGGTTGCATTCCGAAAGCCTTTTTTCTGTTACCTGTCCGCTGCACGCCTCTTTCTGAGTCTCGGTCCACTTCAGTTTGCATGCACAGTGCAAAAAGGAGAGAAAGAGAGAGCGCGAGAGAGAGAGAGCGCGAGAGAGTTTGAGATTGATTGAGAGAGGGAGAGCGAAAACGAGAGCGAGAAAGAGAGAGAGAGCAAGAACAAGGGAGCCAAGGAAAGAGAGAAGGAACGGAGAAGGAGTGAGTGGAAAAGGAGAGGAAATAAAGGAAGAAACGGCAACAGCCTTAGTTTACCTGAATTGCCGTTTGGGGTTACTGGTGGCTGCGGCCCCATTGCGCCAGAGAGGCGCCCGTATCGGACCCAGCAGCCCCCTAACACTCCGGTTCATAACCACAGGCAGAGAAGGTGCTGCAGTTTGAACCTGGGACAAAGAATGTGACAGCATTATTGAAGGAAGCCCAAGAGCTGGAGGCCCGAGTGATCATCCTCTCAGCCAGGTAAGTCAGAAGTCAAGGATACTTTGTCACCTGCACCTAAACCCCATCTTGAGGCCTCAGGGTTTTATCCCTGTTCTGACCTAACTCCCCATAACATAGAGCTTTTCATCTCTACCTCATCCCCTCTGTAGCCCTTATTCCACCCTACCCAAATTACATATGCCCTCCCATGAGAGCAAGCACACACACAAACACACACACATGCACACAAACACACACACTTCTTCATGCTACAGAGTTACTAGAGAAAGTAATAGAATATTTCAAGTTCCACAAGGCCTTTCACATTTACAAACTAAGGCAACACAGACTTATAAGACTGAATTGGAATTGGAAACAAAATAATATTTATAGAGTTCCTTGAGACTTAAAAAAAAAAAGTACTTTTCACTTAACTGTCCTGTGGTGGAAGAAGTACAAGTATTAACCTTATTTCACACGAGAGGAAACTAAGGCTCACAAAGGTTAAGTGATGAATCCAAGGTCACATAAATAGAGAGTATCTTTCAGCCACTGTTCAAATCTAAATGTCTTAAGTCTAAGTTCAACATTCTTTCTTTCTTAAAAAGATAAATAAATGTTTTATTTTAAAAAACTTAATGTTTTATATCAATGCAGTCCAACTAAACATGCTTAATAATTGTATTTAAATTATTTCATTTTAAGACTTAAAGCATCATTACCCACCTTTGGGTCATTCCCTCTTCTTTTTCTTTTTCTTTTTTTTGCTTTTATTTAGTATTTTATTTTCCCCCAGTTACATGGAAAAACATTTTCTGATATTCATTTTTAAAACTTTGAGTTTTAAATTTTCTCCCTTCCTCCCTCCCCACCTCCCCTCACTGAGAAGGCAAGCAATTCGATATAGGTTATATATGTGTAGTCATGCAAAACATATCCATAACAGTTATGTTGTAAAAGAAAGTGTTGACAAGGAAAAAAACTCAAGAAAAATTAAGCAAAAAAAAGTATGCTTCAATCTGTATGCAGACACCATCAGTTCTTTCTCTGGGGATGGATAGCATTTTTCATCATAAGTTCTTCAGAGTTGTCTTGGATTGTTGTATTGCTGAGAATAGCCAAGTCATTCATAGCTGATCATCTTACAATATTGCTATTATTTTGTACACAGTACCTTTCACTTTGCATCAGCCCATGTAAGTCTTTCCAAGTTTTTCTGAGAGCATCGTATTCACCATTTCTTATAGTACAATAATATGCCATCATAATCACATATCACAATTTATTCAGCCATTCCCCAATTGATGAGCATTCCCTCAACTTCTAATTCTTTACCCCTAGAAAAGAGTTGCTATAAATATTTTTGTACATGTAAGTCCTTCTTTTTTTTTTTTATCTCTTTTGGTATACAGATGTGTAGTGGTATTGCTAGGTCAAAGGGTATGTATAGTTTTATAGCCCTTTGGGCAAAGTTCCAAATTGCTCTACAGAATGATTGAATTGAATCAGTTCACAACTGCACCAACAGTGCATTAAAGTCTCATTTTTCCCATACTGCCTCCAACATTTGTCATTTTTCTTTTCTGTCCTGTTAGTCAATCTAATAAGCATGAGGTAGTATCACAGAATTGTTTTGATTTGCATTTCTCCTATCAACAGTGAGTTAGAGTATTTTTTTTAATATGGCTATAGATAGCTTTGATTACTTCATTGAAAACTGATCATATCTTTTGATCATTTATCAATTGGGAAATAGCTCTTAATTTTTATAAATTTGACTCAGTTCTTTATATGTTTGAGAATCATTCCCTCTTCTAAGTCCCCACCAAGGTTCATTCTTATCCATTTTTCCTCCTATATGGTCCTAGCTAGTACATCAAGTCCACAGCTGTTTTAGAGATAGACAAAAAAAAAATCTTATCAAAGGAGAAATGTAGATAGTGGGGTACTCTGGAGAATGGTTTATTTTGCATTTCCTACAAATTAGTTAAAAGAGGGAGTTACAGGGATATTTCATAGACTCCCAGACAGTCAGAACTGGAAGAGCCTTAAAGAGCAATGCCAGAATTTGGCAGATGAGGAAACTCCCTTCAAAAAAGGGAAATAGCCCATTCAAGACCACATAGTCAGGTGATAGAAGACCAGAACTAGGATTTCTTAATTTGATTCCCCATCCAATATTCTTGCCTCTACACCATGCTGTCCATTTTTGCCAATGACTTTAGTAGTGTCATGTCATCCCAAGATGATATTGCATACTAAGATCAATTGCAGGAATCTCTGTGATGGGATTGCCCAGGTGTAAAGGGGCTTAAGTGTCCAAAGCTGGCTGGTCCTTGTTCTGTTCTTCTTGGTCTCCCACAACCTCTGTACTAGTTCTAACAATCCATCTCTCCCCTAGACTCTGGAATGTATCTGGCCACCATTATGCTTTTTGAGGTTGGATGAGATGTCAGAAAAGTAAACCATGAATTTCAATGTGGGCTGAAGTCATACTTTGTGATACACAAGGAACATATCACCCAACCACATTTGTAGACTGGCAGGCCCTGAGCTCTGGGGAAAGAGATGGAGCAAGGATGCAAGGTCATCATTGTAGATCATTCCATGAAGATGTAGATCTTGTGTGTGACTGTGGCTATGGTGACCTTCCACAATATTAGACAGCATTAAGAGGTAAGCTGGAAATTAAAACAGAAAACTCTTGTCCTTGTCTACTAAAAAACATTCATCTATCCTAGCAGAGCTGTGGATAGGTCTGGCCACTGCCCTTCTGGACAGATACACTAGGAAAGGTCTGAGAAAGATGACAATTATGATCCAAGAAAAGAAACTTGGGTGAAGGGGAGGGGGTAAAGATCACAACAGGAAAATAACTTGAGTTGGGGTATTAGAAAGGGAAAATAAGTAAGGACTTGTGGAGAAGATGAGGACACTTTAGCTTATAGGGATGGAGGCTAAAAAAATATGGGAAAGGATGACATAGATAATCACCAAATGCCAGACACTAGGAAAAGAAGATGGAAAGAGGTTTTTTGGGGAAAGTTTTACATTCCACTTTGAAAAGTAAATTAATGTGTGCTGGTAAATGTTTAACAATCTGCTCTGAGTGGATAGGTGTATGCAGAACACATTTTTAGGTTCAACTGGCATTATTAACATTTTTCTCCATCACTTTCTTAAGTCTAGACAATCAACAAAACAATAAATCAAGTCTTGATTTATAGCAGTTGCTGATTTCGGAGGTGTAAAAGCTCACGTGGAATTAGCACACCCCTGGAAATAAACTTAGTAACTCATTGCCCCAAGATCATAGAACTCAAGAATTTAGAGCTGAAAGTGCTCTTAGTCCATCGCCTTCACAGAAACAGCCTTATTGTAATGAAAAGAACTATAGCTTAGGTGTCAGAGGAGTAACTTTGCTAGTTACTGACTCTGTGAGCTTGAACAAGACACTTCGTATCCCTGGGACTCAATTTCTGGATCTGTAAAACAAGAGATTGGACCAGATGATCCCTAGGGCCCCTTCCAGCTCTACATGCCATGATATTAATGCAAATGAGGAAAGTGAAGTTCAGAGAAGATAAACTGATTTGCCTTAATACAGGCTGGTAATACAAATAGATTCAGAAAAGATTTCAAAGCATTCAAAAAGGACAAATTTCCTAATGAGATAAATCTGGATTTTTCCTGAAGTCTTCTATACAAGAATCCCATTAGGACTGATTTTTTTTTTTTTTTAAAGAATGCTCAAATGATGATCCAAACACCACTATGAAAAGGGAAGCCAGGCACATTAATATGGCTGTTTGCCCTTGATGTTGTCACTTCCTCACACTTCCTTAGATCTGTCCTTGGATTCTATCACAATGCAACCCCCACTCTGTTCTCCCAAAACTGCTGTGTTTGAATATTTGAGAAAAAAAAAGAGGAAAACATTTCAGTTTTAGCTTTTATCAAAGGCCTGCCTGATGCTAGGTATCAAGGAAGATCTAGTGACCTAATAAGATACAACAGCCCCTGTCTACTTTCAAGGATCTCACAGGGTAGGTAGTAAGGAAGCTATGACCTATGGCAGAACTGGGATAAGGCAAGGTCTGAACATTGAAGCCTCATGCCATGGAAGGTCACAATCCATTGGGTGTCACTGTCCACTGGAGGCTATTGTCTCATATTGTAGCACATGCAACCTGACTTTATCATAAAATCAATTCCCACATGCTAGGGAGAGAGGGATTTCCTGGCTTTAAAACTATGTCCATAAAATATTAAAAAAGCGTTTTTATGTAGCAATTTAAGGATTTTCATAATAATCTAGGAACTGAACACAATGGCCAAATAAAGTTGAAATTTTAGTTTAAAAAAGTCTACAATGCCATAAAGAAGTTATAGAAAGTTATAAAAAGTCATATTAAAAAGTGTCCAAGATTGTATGCTAAGCAGCTGCCTGTTTTACCTGTTTCTAATACCAAGTCTGTACCTTGGACAAGTCACTTCCTTTCTCTGGGTCCTAGTTTCCTCTTCTGCCAAATAAGGGGGTGGGACTAAGTGATTACCAAAAGAAAATAGAGGACAACCAGCCCTCTCTCCTGGAGCACCCTAGTCCTCTGTTAGTCAGAACCCTGAGATTCAGAGATCTGCTTTCCATCCTGATAACAATAATGGTAAATGTGTTCTAGTGGAAATAGCAGACTTGGAGTCTGAGGACATAGTTTCAGATCCTTGCTTTGTTACTAATTTCCTAGCAACTTGTACTGAGTATAATCAACATCTAGGGAGGGAATGACACTCCTGACTGCCCCAACCTGCCTTCTGGCTGGTTTGGACAAGTCGCTACTCCAATTCTTTGTGCCTCAGTCTCTTTATCTATCAAATGAGAGAGTTGGATTAGCTGATATCTAAATCCCCTCTTAGCTCTGAATTCAATGACCCTGTCAATATCTAGTATCTATAAGGCTTCAAGGTTTCACCAAAAGCTCCTCTAGCTTCCTTCGAATGTCTCTTCCGTCTCACTATGAGTGGCAAGATCCTGGATGGCCAGGAGGCACATGAGGGTGGGCACAAGGGTCTACAGATTTATAGGTTTTTATGCCATTACTTCTATATCGCCCTTCCAGACATACATCAGTTTTTAGTTTGAAAAGGTGCTGGGAAAGATCCCCTAGCAGTGCTCTCACCTCTTCCCTATGTCTTTTTCCCACCAGACCATGAAAAGCTCCAGGGCCCTACAAGTACACCCTACCCTAGCCTGGACATATTTCTGCCCCACTACACACACCACCCTTCCCTGCTCATACCCCCACACCTAGTATACCCCTAATTGGCCCTAGGCATACCCCCAGCCCAGTCCTTCAATGCCTTCCTGGAATCTGTGACATTGCTAATATATTCTACCCCGGCCTATGATGTGAGTCTATCCTGTCTGCCCAGCAGGTACCCAGGGCAGGGACTGTGTTTGATGTTTCTTTTGACTTTTGTTCTGTCAAACACATGCATTTGCACACACACACACACACACACACACACACACACACACAGAGTCTACCGTGGTGCTAGCCATTTGATAGGTATTCAGTGATGGCTCTTGACTGAAAAAGTCTGGCAGAGCGGTCATCAAGGGTACTACAATTCCATGTTACTAACTCTGTTTCTGTACTTCCTGTATTCTCTAAAGCTTAATGGTCTGACTGTCCAAGAAAATTTTTTTGCCTTAAATGAGAGCAATGGAATGAGACCTCTTGTCAAGAGAATCTGTTGCCCCTGTGCCACATTTGAGCATGCTTCCATGTGATGAAAACCCTCATTGAGACAGAAATCTTTCTTAAAAAGACAATTGGACTGCAGAACAGAAGGCACGAGAGATAGATTTGTCGATTGTGTTTTCCTTGGGCTTTAGCTAGGACACTTAGGGAAGGTCCTAAGAGCCTTACTCTTGGTCCTAAGGACTGGACTTTTGTCTGAGGTGAGACAAGTGGAGGGACAGTGTGTGAGTGTGTTGAGGGGTGGGGGTGATGAATGGGGTGGGGATAGGGAATCGTGAGTAGGAAACATGTCAAAGAAAGCTCATGGAGGGTCCCTGATAGGGAGACAATAAAGGCAATTAGTGTAAGACTAAATGTTCTGTATGATATATGTATGTGTATGCACGTATATACATACATACATACATACAGATTTAAAGTTTACGAAGCACTTTCCTCCCAAAATTTTTGTGAGATAGACAGTACAAGTATTATAAATCCTGTTTTACAGATGAGAAAGCTTAATCTCATAGAAACTGAATGATTTGTCCATGGTCATATAACAAATAAATGTCAGAACTTAGAAATGAATCCAGGTTTTCAATTCTATGTCTAGCTTTCTTTCCACTATATCATTATTCTTTTATCTCTAAAGGGACCCTTTTAATCCAGATCCAGGACATAGGAGTGTTGTAAGGATAAAAAAAAAGTCTGTGAAAGTTATTTTAAAATATGAAATGCCACCCTTGTATCCAGCTTCACAACTACATTGTTGTCAAAGTAATTTAGGCAAGAGGAATGGAGGCAGGACTTGGGAAAAGGGCCTGAAGGGGAGGGGGGACCCTGGCCCTTGTCACCCCCCATCTGTCCTGCAGCGAGGATGATGCTGCCACTGTGTATCGGGCTGCCGCAATGCTGAACATGACAGGCTCTGGGTACGTGTGGCTCGTCGGCGAGCGGGAGATCTCAGGGAACGCCCTACGCTACGCCCCAGATGGTACGTACCAGGGAATATTCCCAGGAGGATCTGTCTGTGGGGGCTTCATCAGTGATTACTATTGGAATGGGCAGCAGAAACATTGGGATGGTCTTAGCCATGGGTACAAGCACCCAGCTCTGCTCAGGGCTCTGAACTGTTACCAATTTGGGACCCATTCTGGGTCGGGGGTAAGGCCTGGATGGGTCTCTGAGTGAAAACCAGTTTTAAACCTGCTCGGGTATGGGTAAGCTATTTCTGCTGTCTATCAGTCACATTTCTGACATGAACCTTCCCAGGCATCATTGGGCTCCAGCTGATTAATGGAAAGAATGAATCTGCACACATCAGTGATGCTGTGGGTGTGGTAGCCCAAGCTGTGCATGAGCTTTTCGAAAAAGAGAACATCACAGATCCCCCCCGTGGCTGTGTTGGCAATACTAACATCTGGAAGACTGGGCCCCTCTTCAAAAGGTGAGTGGAAGAGTAAAGACAGGGAGAGGGTGGCATACACCATATTGACCACTACTCCGGAGAGACCTCTTAATTAGGGCCCCTCCCACCTTCTCATCCAAACCCTAATAACAGCCCTTTCTTCACCTTTCCGAAGCACTTTACAGTTTGCCGTGTAAATTGCTTTCTTACACAACCCTTCAAGGTATGCAGCACAAGAATTATTAACCCCCTATTTTATAGTTGAGGCTCCTAGAAATTAAGTGGTATGCCCGTGGTCACATGGTCAGTGTCAGAGCCAGGGATCAAACCTAGATCTTCTGACTCTAAATACAGAACTCTTTGCCCCATGCCACTCTGACCATCACCATTGTTGTCTCCATCATCACCATCATCTTTGTCAACATCTCCACCATGATCAACAGCATGTCATGGGATGGTAGAATTTAGACCAGTATTTCCATGGTCATCTTCAGAATCACTATCATATATAAGGCTATCATCACTACCATCCTCAACTTGCTTGCTCTCTTGGTACAGGTTTTTGTTGTTCGGTCATTTCAGTCATGTTCAATTCTTTATGACCTCATTTGAGGTTTTCTAGGCAAAAATATTGGAGTGGTTTGCCATTTCCTTCTCCAGCTCATTTTGTAGATGAGACAAACAGGGTTAAGTGACTTGCCCAGGGTCACATGCCAATAAGTGTCTGAGGCCAGATTTGAACTCAGGAAGATGAGTCTTCCTGACTCCAGGCCCCATGCTCTATCCACTGTACCACCTACCTGCCTTATTGATATAGCACTGACTTTGGAGCTAGAGGACCAGAGCTTAATTACTACTCCTATGACCAGCTTCATTTAATTCATCTGTAAAATGAAGGGATTAGGTCTCTTGCCATTCTCAATCTCTGATCATTATGATCACAGTCAACATACCACTATCACTATCACCATCATTTTCATGATCACTCTCCCACCATCACAGATCTAGTGCTGGATGAGACCATCTTATTCAACTCTCTTTTTTTTGTTTGTTTGTTTGTTTTGTTTTGTTTTGGCTAGGCAATGGGAGTTAAGTGACTTGCCCAGGGTCACACAGCTAGTAAGTGTTATGTGTCTGAGGCTGGATTTGAACTCAGGTACTCCTGAATCCAGGGCTGGTGCTCTATCCACTGCGCCACCTAGCTGCCCCCATCAACTCTTTTATTTTACATAGGAGGAAACTGAGACCCAGAGAGGTTAAGTAAGTTACCCAAGATCACACAGATAGCATCAGAGGTAGAATTTGAACCCAGGTTCTCTAAGTCCACAGAGCCAGAGGAGGAAACTGAGGTCTAGAGAAGTGAAAGTGATTTGCCCAATGCACCTAAGTAGTAAGTGGTAGAGGCAGGATTTGAACTCATGACTTCTGTCTCCATAGCCAATGAGCCCTCTATCTCTCTGTCTCCCTTCCTCCCTCTGTTTCTCCCCCTCTCTCTCTTTCTTCTCTCTTTTTCTCTTCCTTTCTCTCTCTCCTCTCTCTTTTTCTCTCTCTCCATTGTACCATAGTCTTCCTCATAACCATCACTTTCACCTTTATTATCACTAATTCCACGATCTTCATCATCACAGTCTTATCTCAAGCAACATAATCTTTGCCATCGCTCCTTATGACTGCCAACATCACCACCACCAGGAAGCTTCCTTAAAACTTCCTTCAGCTGCCTGGAAACCACCAGGGTAGACCTCAAGAGAAGAAATGCATGGTGAACCCCAATCTACCTTCTTGTAAAGGCTGAAATCCTATGTAAGGATATTGGAGACTAGGTGTTACAGAGTTTGCTGAGGACATTCTGAAAACATGAGGACTATTTTGGGAAGATGAAAAGAGATTAGAATTAATGTTCATAAAATGATCAAGGTGGACAGAGTAGTCACAACCCTGTACACTAGATCCTAGAATCTGCAACTATGGGATTCCTGAAAGAGATTTCCAGCATAGGCTGGGAACAGGTTCCAGAGTAGGCTCTTGCTGAATTCCTAGATGGCAGGTCTACAGAGAACTATAAAGGAAGCCTGGGCATTTGGAGGCATTCCTGACCTGTGTATTGACATCACACCACACAAGGATTGCCATAGCCTCTTCCCAAACCAGCCCGCATTGCTGGAGTTGATCTTCATTCAAATCCTGGTTTTGCCACTTACCAACCATGTGACTTTGGGCAAATCACTTAACTTCTCTGGGCCTCAGTTTCCTTAGTTACCCAATGAGGTGATCAGGTTAAATGACCCAAGATCCTTTCCAGATCTAAATCTATGATACTCATCAGAAACAGAATCCTAGACCAGAGAGGTCAGGGGGTCACCTCCAGGTATATAATTGATGAGCAAATGTTTTTATGTAAGGCTGGGCAGAACAAGCTCCCCTCCCAAGGGTAGAAGAATTAGAAATGGAGATGTAGAGACAAATACACACGCAAAAATATACAGGTGCAGCTATCCCTTCCACATTGAGACTTTCCCCATTTACAGTTTTGATATATTGCAAGTCAGCATAAGAAATTAAATAGGAATTTTGGGGGAGTTTTGTGGAAGCCACAGACATGTGAAAGCCAGTAGATGATACAGAAAAAGTTTAGAAATTCAGAAATGTATAAAATACATGTATAGTATTGTATAATATCAACCCAAATTTTACAATGAGGTACTGTAAAGGGGAAGCTAGGTGGTGCAGTAGTTAGAGCACCAGCACTGAAGTCAGGAGGGCCTGAGTTCAAATGCTGCCTCAGACACTAGAAGTGTGACCCTGGGCAGGTCACTTAACCCAAATTGCCTCCCCCACCTCAAAGAAAATAAATAAGATACTGTAAACACCCCATAAAAGAAAAAAGATAAAATTCAGACTTCTTCTCTGGTGCAAAGAGAGGGCCAAAAAATTTTACGTGAATTTTCCAAATCATGGGGGCGCTGTGCCCCTAATCCCTGCAATGTGGATGGCATAACTACATACTCATCAGGCACTCAGGTTTTATGACGTTTATTCAGAGCTAGTTTAACCTAGAATGATGGATGGGAAAAAGGTGTGGCTTTAGGATTATGACTGGTGAGTTTCTTCTCTCAGTGTGCTCCAGCTGTATGAAGACAGAGGTGGAAGCCAAAGCATTCAGTGCCAGGACAAGGACAGGGAGGAAATCCCCCCAAACTATCACTTGATCTCCCCCATTCTTCCCTGTTTCTCAGAGTGCTGATGTCCTCTAAGTACTCAGAAGGTGTGACTGGCCGGGTGGAATTCAATGAGGATGGGGACAGGAAGTTCGCCAATTACAGCATCATGAATCTGCAGAACCGAAAGCTGGTGCAAGTAGGGATTTTTAATGGGAGCCACGTAAGTGGGGCTGAGAATAGGGTTGGGAGACTTCACCTGGGGGTCCTGGGATTATGACCCAGACCTCTCTGGGCTTCTCCATCATGCAACCCTCCCACCTTTTCAGGTCCTACCCAATGACCGGAAGATCATTTGGCCAGGGGGAGAGACTGAGAAGCCTGAAGGATACGAAATGTCAACCAGACTAAAGGTGAGGCCGACATAGAAAAGTTATAATGTACCATAGGCAAGAGAATTGATCCTACCTCCTTGGCATTGTCTCTCCTCAGTCAATGAGGCCTGACCAACCAGGTAGATCATTCAGGAGAGAGGATGAGAAAACACAGAGAGCTGAGGAGACAGGGATGCTGGGAGAGACAGTGGAATAGGGCCAAGTGGAGAAACAGGGAGATAGATGGAGAGGCAGACAGATGGGGAGGGAGAGATGGAGAGATCGCAACAGAAACAGAGAAAGGCAGAAAGGCAGGATTGGTCTGTGTCAGGGAAGGGAGGAGAGGTTCTCTAGGGAACCCAAGAATGAATAAACTGTTTTCTCTCCCTTCCCCTACCTCCAGATTGTCACCATCCACCAGGAGCCCTTTGTGTATGTGAAACCAGCTCAAGATGGTGAAACCTGTAATGAAGATCTCACAATCAATGGGGAGAAAATAAAGAAGGTCACCTGCACAGGCCCAAATGACACCCATCCGGGCGCCAGTGAGTCTAGGCTAGGGAGTGGGGGTCAGAAATGGAGGCATTTGCTCTTGGTGGCTAGCAGGAACACTTTGATAGTACTCTGGGCTGGGGTGCATATGGTCATAACCATCTTGTCTTTGGGTCCCCTTATCCCCCCAGACCGCCACACTATACTCCAGTGCTGCTATGGTTTCTGCATTGACCTGCTCATCGACCTAGCCAAAACAATGAACTTCACCTATGAGGTCCATCTGGTGGCTGATGGCAAGTTTGGCACCCAGGAGCGGGTAGGTGGGCAAAAGGATTAAGAGAGTGAGATAGGTAGGCCAGGCTTTGGTGTTTGGGGAGTTGGAGGTGGCTAGGAGAATCAAGAAATAGAATAGGTGAAGTGGGGCTCCGGACTGAGGGCCTATGAAGGCAGGAGAATTGGGGTATAGGCCCAGAAAGAAGAATGGGGCACCACATTGCAGGGGTTAGGGGTACGGCACCCCCACAATCTATAAAATCTGCATAAATTTTTTTGGCTTTCTCTGTACCAGAGAAGAAGTCTGAATTTTTTCTTCTTCTTTTATAGAGTGTTTATAGTACCTTATTTATTTATTTATTTGTTTGTTTGTTTGTTTGTTTATTTGTTTATTTATTATTTTGGGGGAGGAAATCCAGTTAAGTGACTTGCCCAGGGGGAATCTTGAGGGACCTGGGGGCTAAATATGAAAAACAGCAGAATGGGGACCAACTGGGATCTGAGGCTGAAGGACTAACCCAGTATAAAGAATGGAAGGGCCAGGAATCAGTGTGGGGATCAGATCCAGGACTCCAAGGTCCATGTCCCTTCCTCCAGGTGAACAACAGCAACAAGAAGGAGTGGAATGGGATGATGGGGGAGCTATTGAGTGGACAGGCAGACATGATCGTGGCTCCACTGACCATCAACAATGAGCGAGCCCAGTACATTGAGTTCTCCAAGCCCTTCAAGTACCAGGGGCTGACCATCCTGGTGAAGAAGGTCAGCTGGAGACTGGGGAAGGGGTCTGGGAAACTGGCATCCCTGGGAAGGGCCAGGGCACCCCCAGCAGCTGGGGAGGTGTAGGAAGTAAAGGGGGGGAATCCTGGTAGGGGGAGGGGCCTGTTCTGGAGGGCAGAGATGTTCCCTCACGCTCTCTCTTTCCCTCCTCTGCCTCCCTTCCAGGAAATCCCTCGGAGCACCCTGGACTCGTTCATGCAGCCCTTCCAGAGCACACTGTGGCTCCTGGTCGGACTCTCTGTCCACGTGGTGGCTGTCATGCTCTACCTGCTGGATCGGTTTAGGTGAGAGTGAGACATCCCCGACCTCTGGCCCTCACCTCACTCATCCTCTCAGTACTTCCTTTTCCCCCAGGATCTGAGAGGGGCAGTGCTAGGGGAAGGAGAGATAAGGGACATGGGAGGGATTATGGTCCAGGAAGGAAGAAGAGAATTGGGGGGGGGCTGGCCCCGAAAGCTGGTGCTGCCCTTTTCCTCCTGTCCCTCCTCAGCCCCTTTGGCCGGTTCAAAGTGAACAGTGAGGAAGAAGAAGAAGATGCACTGACCCTCTCCTCAGCTATGTGGTTCTCCTGGGGGGTCCTGCTCAACTCTGGGATTGGAGAAGGTAAGTGCCACTGGAGCACTCCTATCCACACTGTCCAGCTTCTCAGACCCACACATGGCCTCCCAACCTTCTCATCCAGTCTTCTAGCCTTAACATCCAGCCTTCTGGACCCCTATATCACCCTCTTGGAGGGTCCTCCTACCCCCACCCCACTCCCAGCCTTCTAAATCCTACATTCAACCTCTCAGATTCAGCAACCAAACCCAGGTGGCAAGTACTGCCATGTTTCTCCCTTTGCCCCTCAGGTGCCCCCCGAAGTTTCTCAGCCCGGATTCTGGGCATGGTTTGGGCTGGCTTTGCCATGATTATCGTTGCCTCCTACACTGCCAACCTGGCAGCCTTCCTGGTGCTGGACCGGCCAGAAGAGCGCATCACAGGCATCAATGACCCTCGAGTGAGGACCCAGGCCTAGCTGGGCAGGACTAAGGCGCTGTGATTCCTGGACCAGAGCCCCTGGAAGAGGGAAAACAGAGGGTCGGGGCCTATGGGTGGGGTCAGGGGATATCAGAGTAGAGATAGGGTCTGGGAGATAGCCAATGCTGGGATTTGCAGGCAGTCAGGTGGGTGGGAGCCACATGGACCAGTGGCCAGGAGATATGTGGGGGCAGTCAGTGTGGCTAACATTCTAAGGTGGGAGCAAGGGGCAGGCAGGGGGTTGTGGGAGAGAGGTCCAGAGGCAGCTTCTCTGACACTGCTCCTGCTGACCCCTAGCTACGGAACCCCTCGGACAAGTTCATCTATGCCACAGTAAAACAGAGCTCTGTGGATATCTACTTCCGGCGGCAGGTAGAGCTGAGCACTATGTACCGGCATATGGAGAAACACAACTACGAGAGTGCTGCTGAAGCCATCCAGGCTGTGCGGGACAAGTGAGGGCTAGGGACTGTGTGCGGACCCAGGGTTCAGGGCTGGAGGTCCTGAAGGGAGGTGGGGACGGGTTAGTGCTGGGACTGGGGCACAGGGGAAGCCAGAGTCCAAAGGGTTTAGACAAAGAAAGACCAGGTAGCAGGAGCAGCCGAGGACAACAGGAGAAGGGTACAGAGCACCCGGGTTGGAATCCTGCCTCTGATGTGAACTCCTTGTGCCAACTTAGACAATTTGTCTAACCTCCCTGGGCCTCAGTTTCCTTAAAGGAGTGGTTGTACTAGGTGGCTTCTGAGGTCCCTACCAGCTCCAAATCTGAGATCCCATAACACTGCCCCCAACCCCTGCAGCCTCTAGGTGTATTACAGGGTGCAAGGGGAGCAGGGCACAGGAGATGTGACTGCCTCAGCTGGATCCCCATGACCCTGCTCCTGTACCTCCAGCAAGCTCCATGCCTTCATCTGGGATTCTGCAGTGCTAGAGTTTGAGGCCTCACAGAAGTGTGACCTGGTGACCACAGGAGAACTCTTCTTCCGCTCTGGCTTCGGCATTGGCATGCGCAAAGACAGCCCCTGGAAGCAGAATGTCTCCCTGGCCATCCTCAAGTCTGTACCCCCCCAGCCCTGTGGACCCCAACCCTGGCTGGGAACACCCCACCCTAATGTCCCAAGCCCTGGAGACCCTGTGCACAAACACTAACTGTATGCATACACTCACAGATGTGTGCCCAAACATGCCCTTCCCGTGTGGTCCCCAACCAAGCATCTCCCTGACTCCTTTTGAGCCCCTATGTTTAAAAACAAAAACAAGAAGCCTCCATAAAGCCCAATGTCAGTACTTGTGGCCCTTCTTCCTCATTTCTTCATCCCTCACTCTGTGGCCAGATTCATCTCTCTGTCTTTGCCCTCCCTGTGTTCCTCCTTTCTTTTCTCAATGTGTCTCTTTCCACCTCTCTTTCTCCCTCCTTCCCTCTCTCTTTGTGTCTCTGTCTCCCTCTTTCCTTCATATCTCCCCTCATTTCTCATCATTCTCCATGTCTCTGATCCTGCATCTGAAATGCACTGGGTCCCACACCACTTTTCTCCAGGTCCCATGAGAATGGCTTTATGGAGGATTTAGACAAGACTTGGGTTCGATACCAAGAGTGCGACTCCCGCAGCAATGCTCCAGCAACTCTCACTTTCGAGAACATGGCTGGTGGGTGCCCCCTCTCTCCTCCTCCCCTTCACCCCCAAAGACAGAAGTCCCTGCAAAGGACTCATATCTGGCCTTTTGGGACCATGAAGGGGGCTAATTTCTGAGTCCTGGGGACACCCCAGGATGGTGCTGGCATATGGCCATGAGTTAGTCAATCAGTCAGTATGAATTTATTTAAGCACCTATTATGCGCCAGGCACTGTGCTAAATGCTGAGAATCCAAAGAAAGGCAAAAGAGTCCCTGCCCTCAGGGAGCTTACAATCTAATGAGGGAGACAACATGCAAAGAAATATGTACAAACAAGCTATGTACAAGATAAATAGGGATAATCAACAGAGGGAAAGCTAAGAGGGATTGGGAAAGGCTTCCCATAAAATATGGGATTTTAGCTGGACCTTGAAGAAAGCCAGGGAAGCCAGCAGGTAGATATGAAGAGGAAGAGCATTCCAGGAATAGAGGTGGGTCAGTCAAAATGCAAAATAACCTTGGAGGGGAAGGCCCTGATGGGGGGTGGGGGAGTGAGGGGGAAGGCTTCTATGCAGAAAGGAGGAGATGCTTAAGATGGGTTTTGGGAAAAAAAAAAAAAAAAGCAAGGATTTGGAGAGGCAGAGATGAGAGAGAAGGCATTCCAGGTATGAGGGACAGTCAACCAGCATTTATTATGCACCTACTGTATGCCAGACCCCGTGCTAAGCACTGGCAATATAAAGAAAGGCAAAAACACAGTCTCTACCTTTAAGGAGCTCACATTCTTATGGCGAGAAAACATGGAAATAAGTAAATACATACAGGATTTATTTATGGTTTGAGGATGACCCTGGAAGGACTCACCAGTGGACGTGGATGGGAGTGGGGGCTGGAGCAGAAGGGAGGCATGGATCTGGCCTCAGAATCTAGGGTAACCACCCGTGGGCACTTGTAGGAGTGTTTATGTTGGTGGCCGGCGGGATCGTGGCTGGAATTTTCCTGATTTTCATTGAGATCGCCTATAAGAGACACAAAGATGCCCGCAGGAAGCAGATGCAGCTGGCCTTTGCAGCAGTGAACGTGTGGAGGAAAAACCTACAGGTAGGCCAACGGGGCGAGCGGCTCTGTATCTGTGACCCAGTGTCCTTGCCCCTGCCCTTGGCTGGCCTATCCCGGCTCCCAGAGCACTCCTGCTTAAGGCCAACCCCCACTCTCAGCTCCCAGGTCTTCCTGACCCTGCCATTGCCCCTTTCTCCCACCCTGGGCTGCAACCCCTCCCCCGTTCCTATTGCCCTGGTGTGCGCTGGAGCCCTGGAATAATACCAAAGAGCCAATGGTGAGTGGTGCCCAAGCAGAGCAGTCCTGGAAGGCTGCCCGAAGGAGTGGCCACTGGCTCAAGCTATCCCTTGAGACGGATTCTCCACTTACCAGTGCCTCGCAAGGAGAGGCCTAGGATCATGCCACCCCCGGCATTCAAAATAGCTCATATGTTTTAGGCATCTCTCACTGATGCCCATTTTACACCAAAGGAAACTGAGGACCAGAAGGAGTCAGAGACTCCTTTGAATCTAGAGCCTGAGTCCTGGCTTTGGCTCCCTGTCTCCGTTCCTTCTTGGGAATCACTTTCTCCCTCTCTCTCATGGTCCTTGGGGTTAACCCTTTCCCTGCCATGTCCACGTGCTCAGTGATCTCCTCCGCCCCACCACACTGCTCTGCTCCGCCCTGGATGTCCGAGGCTGTTTCTGTGTCTTTAGGAACCCGCCAGCGCGCAGGGAAACGGTTTGACTTAGAACCAGCGCAGAGAGCGGGGTTGTAAAAAGTGCGATAGCCCTGGCTGGGGCCTGGGTTCGGGCTGTGGTGGAGGGCAGGTGCCCGCTGGGTGGCAGGCAGCCCAGGGTAAGGAACCAGCCCACACTTGGAGATGACTGAGATTGTTGGACTCGGATCCCCGATGGCTAAAGATACGTTTGTCTCGTTTTCTTCTCTTCCTCCCCCAAGCAGGGCCCAGCCCCAGGGAGTCTGGGCTGGGGTATCCCCCCCCACTGTGCACACACACACTTACTCCCTTGGCCTCTTCCTGGAGGCCAGGGGAGGGGGAGGCTGGAGGCACTGAAACCCTTGGAGCTCCCTGTGAAAACAAAAGCAGCCCCTGCTCCGGGGGAGAGTGCTGTCAGGGAGAAAGGGGACTTTGTTGGAACACGTCGAGGGAGGGAAGGTCTGGGCTAGTGCTCACGTCCGGGAAGGAATGCCCCCCACCCCACCACCTATCCCTCATCCCCCTGATCCTGATCTTGTTGCTGGTGCCTAGGACAGCTGCTGATGCTTGTCCCTCAGGGCAATGGGACTCTCTTACTGTTGAGACTGAGCACGTGGGGAGACCCATCCCATCCCACCTGGCCTGGGAGAACCAGGGCTGACTGTTGGACAAGACAACTCCGTCTGTCTTTCTCTCCAACTCCATCACAACCTCTTGGTGACATTACACCTTGCCTTTGGCTGGATTTTCCTTTCTTAGTTTCTTTTTTTCTCTTTCTCTCCTTTTTTTTGTTTTTGTTTTTGTTGACCCCTCATCGGAGGGATTACCTGCTTTGCAGAAATGGATGATCACAATTTCGGTGTGTTTTTCCCAGTCCACCTATGGAACCTGTGACCTTGCTGCCAAGGCCCACCCTCCCACCCTTCTTGAGAACCTGGCCCCCAGGGGAGGCAGGGAGCAGTCTGGGCAAGGCGGGGGCCACTAGGGAGCTGAGATGCACAGGGGCCAGACCCTGAAAAAGAGAGAGAGAGAGCCAGGGTAGCACAGGCCCCATCCTGTTCTCCCCCAACACTCCAGAGTGAGCTAGGCCAGACACACATGGTGTAGAAAGGGAGGAAGCCTGTCTGTCTGTCTGTCCTGTGCAGAGAAGCAGGACTAAGGACCTGCACAGGCATCAGCAGTGACAGCAGCAGGAGGGTAGGGCTAGCAAGGAGCCCACCCTTAGTAATCTAATCACTTATACATATTCATTTTAGGATAGAAAGAGTGGTAGAGCAGAGCCTGACCCTAAAAAGAAAGCCACATTTAGGGCCATCACCTCCACCCTGGCCTCCAGCTTCAAGAGACGTAGGTCCTCCAAAGACACGGTAAGAGGGAGAAGAAATCTCCAGCCACTCTCTCTGTCTCTCCTCTCTCTCTGTCTTTCCTCTCTCTCACTCTCTCTCTCTCTCTCTCTCTTTCTCTCTCTCTCTCTCCTCTCTTCTCTTTCTTTCCTCTTTTTGTCTCTCCATCTCTTCTCTCCCTTTTCTTTGCTTCTCTTTTTTAAGTCTGTATCTTTTTTTCTTTACCTCTGTCCTTGTTTCTGTCTTTCTGTCCTGTTTCACTAGATCATTGTTTCTTTGTTTCTTATCCCTGTCTCCCTGTGTATCTCTCTCTGTATACCTCTGGGCCTCTCTGTATCTCTCTTCCTTTCTTTCCCTCTCTCTCTCTCTCTCTCTCTCTCTCTCTCTCTCTCTCTCCCTTCCTCTCCCTCTCTCCTTTCATCAGCTTCTGTCTCTTAATGTCTCTCATCTTTAACATTTGGTCTTTCTCCATTGGCTTCTCTCTGTTCCCTGTATCTCTTTGTGATATTTTTCTATCATGCTTGAATCTCTAGAGAATATGCCTTTCTCTGTTTTCCATTGTCTTCATCTCATCTCATCTCATTTCTATCTACATACTGAATTATCTTTGTACCAAGAGGGAGAATACAAGTGAAAAAGAAATGTAAACAAACTTATGTTCTGTCTCACTATTCCCTCTCTTGATGTCTATTTTTCTTTCTCTGCTTTCTTCCATCTCTAAATATTTCCAATTTTATCTTTCTTTGTTCTGCCGGTCTTTATGTCTTGGTACCTCTGTATCTGTGTCTCTTTCCATCTCTGTTTTTCCATTTTCTCTCTTTATATCTATCTCCAGTTTTGATTATTTTCTGTCTCTATCTCACTCTCCTTTTTTCATCTCTCCTTATCTCTTTTCACACGGGTCTCTCTTTGTCTGTCATAGCTTCTCTCTGAGTCTCTCTCCTTCCACCTCTGTCTTTCTCTGTCTCTATCTCTGTCTCTGTCTCTCTCTCTGTCTCTCTTTCTCTTTTTTCCTGCCATCCCATGACTGCCACACACTCATCCTGAAGCTGCCTCATGTTGTCAGTCAGTCAGTCAGTCAGTCAGTCTCAGCGCCTGTCTCTGGGCCTGGCCCAGGGGCCCTGGGGGGCCGGGGATGACCTGCCTCCTAGTCTTCTCACCGATTTGGGAGATTCTACCAACTTTTTATTTTTTCCCCCTTTTTTTCTTGGACTCTCCTGGTTTCCGCCGGTCCTCTCCTCGATGCCCCACACAGCCCAGAGATCGGGTAGTGTGTGATGACTGTCCCTCCGTGTCCCGTCCCGTCTGTCCTGGTCCTGCCTGGCCCATCCCCGTCACTCCTTCCCAGAGCCTGTCTCACCTGTCTCACCAGAGCCATGCTTGTTGCATCCTCCATGTGGTCTCTGTGTGGGTCGGGGCCCAGGGCTGGGGAGGCCAGAGGCCAGGCAACTGGGGGGACTCAAGCCTTGGGGGAGGGCTGCGCCCTAAGGGGCTGCCAAGCTGGCTTTCAACTTATACTGGGTCCTATTGTTCCTTTCAGAATATTTCTGAAGGATGCTCTTAGAGAGTGGGGGAATGGGAGGTTCTAGGCTAGGGAATTCTGGACCCTATCTTAAAAGCTCTGGGGTCTGGGGTGGGGAACACTCCATCCCAGCCCTAGTCCAAGACTCCTCAAAGGAAACATTTACCCTGGCCTGACCTCAAGGGTGGGGAGAGGTAGGGTTGGATGAGTAGTTAAGATACAAGGCAAGATAGGGTTAGGGATGGGGGTCACACAAAGACAGCTGGAAGGGCAGAGCTCAGGCTGAAATTATGAATACCAAGGTGCATTACTCAATGTTTGCATTATGCTGGGAATGCTGTTTTTTCCCAGCTACTTTCCTACCCCAGCAATTAGGAGATTTTATGTTGGGAAATGATCATGGAGGCCCTCACCTCCATCCCTTAGCTGGGCCCATCCCCTCCAGTATGTATATGGGATTGGGGGGGGCGGAATAGTCTGCAAAAGCATTCTCTCCCCTTACCCCTGGGCTTAGAAAGAGACCAATCCTCCTCTCCTAAGGCCTCATAGAAGGGACCACCCCCCAGTGGCTGCTTTCTTCTGAAGAAAGAGGCGAAGGCCCTGGGACCTGGGGGAAGTCATACAGAAGGACAGTTCTGGAAGGGAGCTACAGTTCCTGCTTCCTGGAATATCTAACCCAGGAAAAAAAATGTTGTTCTCTGCTCTACTGGGCCCAACCAGGACAACAATGCTTTCTGAACACAGAGACTAATAATCCTAGTGTACCTCTAATTTACAAAGGGACTTCCTGGCAATAGCAATGTGAAGGAACCAGGATAGGTGTTAGTTACAATCCCTGTTTGACAGATGAAGAAACTAAGGCTAAGAGAACATATGTGACTTGCCCAAGATCTCACAGCTAGGCAGCAGCAAGAGGCAGGATTTGAACCCAGGTCTTTTTACACCAAGCTTATCATTCTTACTACCGTTTGACCCCTTATACTCTAACCTAGGAGCTTTAGATACCAGACAGAGAGATGGCAAAAAGAGACTAGATGTACCACGGCTTCCCAGGTATCACAGAAAAAGGAGGCCTATAGGTGAGGAACCGTCCTGCCTTAGGACAGATAGCCCTGGACCTTAATTCTCTGACCTACCTAGCAAAGTGGCATTCTGTATCCCTCTCCCAACTCCTCTTTCCTATGTCCTCCTTTCTACCCCTCTTCATCCCTAAGACCACAGAATTTAGAGTTGGAAGGGACTGTAGCCCATTTTACAAATGAAGAAACTGGGGCTTCAGAGGATTAGTTACTTGGCCTAGGTCACACTGGTTATAAGCAACAGAGTCACAATTCAAAACAATAATGAGTGTAAATAGCACTTTAAGGTTTGCAAAGCAGTGAATTTACATCAAATCCCATTTGATCCTTACAACAACCCTATGAGGTAGGTACTCTTATTAGCCCCATTCTACAGATGAGGAAACTGAGGCTGAGAGGTTAAATGACTTGGCCAGGGTCACACAGTCAGTCAGTGTATGATACAGGACTTGAACCCAGGTCTTTCTGACTCCAATTCCAGTGGTCTGTCCACTGCACCACCTAGCTGCCTTCCTGCATCTAAATCCAGGCCTCCTTCCATGATACCATGATGATGTCATATTGAGCCCCATTCAGTTCAAGTTTTCACTGAGCATATCTTACTACTTGACTTGCCCCAGGTGGACAACTAGCAGGGAGACAGGAGGAGCAACCGGAGGGGAAGTCCTGGAGCAGCTCTTAAGCAGGGTTGGGGTAACATGGGATAGTTTACAGACTATGGAAAGAAGCCCTTTTTTACAGCTCCAGCCTCTGTCCCAGATTCTCCCTAATGTGAGGCAGGTAGCAGCCGGTACAGATGATAGAGAGCTACCCTCTATTGGACTCAGGAAGTCCTGAGTTGGAATCCTGCCTCAGGCATTTGCTAACTGTGTAACCCCTGGCAACCTCTTCTAGCCTCAGTTTCCTCATCTGTAAAATATATATTGTAACGCCTGCCTCACAGAGTTATTATGAGGATCAAATGAGGTAACACATGTACAGTGCTTTGCAAATGTTAAAGAGCTATATAGATTATTATTATTCCTGGGTCTAAGACTAGATATGAGCTTTGGCCTATTCTTAGGCAGTAATAACCTTACCAAGTCAGACTCCAATACAAAAAATAAGTAGCATACCAAGGGTAACAACCTGATTGCCTGCAAATTTACCACTTCAGCCTCAAGGCTGACAAAACACCCAGCAGCTAAAGCACCTACTGTGTGCAAAACATTACAAGGAATATGATGATAGATCAGATGAGATCCCTAATCTCAGAAAGCCTGAATCCTGGCTCAGGCAATTGCACTAAAACCCCATGAAACAGGATGTGATTAAGGGCTAAATTGTACAGTGCAGGGTAAGTGCAGCATGGCTTCAAAGAAGAGAAGAACAAGTGGACAGAGAGGGCTCCCCAAAGATGGGTCTGGAGTATGAAAGACAGGGAGGATTTAGATAAGTGGGGAGAGAAGCTGGGAAAATGGAATAAAGGCAGACGAATAGTCCTGGACTTCAGTTTCCTGTCAGTCACCCTAGGGTCTTTCTGCTACAAATTTTGCCCCTCTCCAAAATTAGTGAGACCAATTTGACCAAGACAATGAGAGAGAAGATTGAATATGTTCACAGACTTGGAAGAAGACTTAGGGGTTGTCTAGCCCCACTCCATTTTACACATAATGAGAGCTTGACTTTGAAGCACACCCAGATTGTTTAACTTGGAGGCATCAGATAAGGAAACTGAAGCACAGAAAGGTTCAGTTACCTGTCCAAGGCTACACAGGTAATAAATGGCAGGGCTAGTATTTGAACCTAGGTTCTCTGACTCCAAATTCCGATATGGTATGGAATCATACCATCATCACAGAGGGCCTTGAAAACCATGCAGAGGAGTTAGAGATGGAGAGAGAGTGGGTACCACCTCAGCATAAAGCTGGTAGTTGTAGTCATGGCACAGATAGAGGAGAGAGGAGAGAAGGGAGAGAAAGAGAAGAGAGGGAGAAAGGACAGAGAAAAGGGGAGAGATGGAAAGAGAAGAGACAATAATAGTTCTTAGCATGCAGCATGGTGAGAGGTGGAAGGGGAGCCCTGGAAAACTCAAGGTTACACTCAGAAAGCTCAGAGCAGTAGCATCCATGTTTCCAAGGCCAAAACACAGAATTTCAAAAAGGAAGGAGCGGCCCCAGCAATATCAAATGCCTCAGGAAGGTCAAAGAAGATGAGGACGAATAAAATAAAAGATTGGTCTCCTGGTCACCGGTGACTCGTCAGAGCAGCCTGAGGAGGGCGTAGCGGGAGAACATCAGCTTTCTGATTTGACAGTGATCTGATTCAGCAAACGAGTTTCATCATTTTAGATGGTCTTTATTCGTTAAAGCACCTCCAAGACTCCTTAAGAGGCCAGTGAGCCCTCAGCTCTCTCCAGACCCCAAACCCAGTCACAGCCCTCACCCCGCCAAAGAATCCCTTGGTGTCCTCGGGAGCTGTCCTGTGCCTGATCGGGGAACACAGGGTTTCTTCAGAATGGGATGGGATGGACCCAGGACTGGGGAAAGACAGTGGTTAGTCTGGGGTCTCTTTACCAACTGGAGCGGGAGGGATGGGGAGGGAGTCTGGGGTGGGTCAGCTCAGCTCCGGAAGTGCTGCTTGGAGGGGGTGGGGGATGGGAAGGGGCGATGCTCGGACTGCTTGAGAGCCCTGCCTGCCCCGCCCTCTCCTCCCACCCCCCCCCCCTTCGCCCTCCCGCTGACAGGCCCGGGGAAGGGCTGGGGGGAGGAAGGGGGCACTCAGGGGCTGGGCTCCCGGGCAGCTGTGCCAGGCCAGCGGGTATTGATTGTTGATTCTTATTTATAGAGCACCGGGGGTGGACGCGGCGCTTTGCAAAACCAAAAAGACACGGTGCTGCCGCGAAGAGCTATTGAGAGGGAGGAGGGACAGCTCCAGATGTGTGCCCGCCATAGGGAGAGCTGAGACGCCCTCGGCCCACCCACCTCTGCCCCCCAGCACCGGCTCTAGCGCCCCTCCCTTCCCCCCCCTCGCAGACGGGACAGCGTCCTGGCCAAAGCAGAGTCCCCGGAGCAAGACGGGGGACGGGGGGGGAAGAGAGGCACCCCCTGGCCCTCCCTCCGGGACTGCTGCTCCCCGCTCCCGAAACCCCTGGGATGGGGCCGGCCGCACCCCACCTCTCCCAGTCCCTGCTACAACTCTTTTCGTGCCCCCCGTGGGCGGCTCCACCAACCACAGTGCTGGCCCGTGGCCCTGCCCCCTCCCCAGGAGCGCTAAGCGCTAACCCCACCTCTGCCTTGTCTGTGTATTTGTATTTTACAGCAGTACCATCCCACTGATATCACAGGGCAGCTCAACCTCTCAGATCCCTCGGTGAGCACCGTGGTGTGAGGCCTCCCGGAGCCGCCGGCCTAGTTACTAACTACTAGGAGCGCTGGTCAGGACTGATGCCTGAGGACTAAGGGGTCCTGCTCGGGAAGGCCAGAGGGAACGCCCCCGTCCCCTGTCCTCCCGGCCCCCAGTGACTGCATATTGCCCCCCTTCTCCCCAGCACTGTGGGGCAGCTGCTGCCCCCGACTCCCTTCCTCCCCACACCCCTATCTTGGCACCCAGAGGGCAGGATCCCTGCTGGAAATAGGCACAGGGGGAGGTATGGCCAAGTGCCAAGACTTGGAGTTTCCTTGTGAGTAAGTCAAGGGTGAGAGGACCTGAAATTGGGATTGGCAGTGAGAGGGACAAGCTGAATCCTCAGCCTGACAGAGGCAAATTGATCTCAAGTCCCAGAGTGGACCTCACCCTGCCCAGGTTCTGGGTATCCAGCATCCCCTCTGTATGGTGTTTGGTTATGTGAGTGGTCTGACTATTCAGGAGCCAGGGTTGACCGGGCAGTGTGGTCTCCTGGGCAGATTCTGCCCCACCCCCACTCTATCCCAGCACAAATATCACCTTGGTCCTGTCATGGAGAGGCTGTGGGGGGAGAAATTGAGGGGAGAGGTGTTCCTCACTCCACAGGCTGCTTTGACCCCTAGAAGCAAAAGAAAACCCTAAGGAATTCTCTAGTTATCCTTAGCTCTCCCACCCAGCTTAGTTCCCTCCTTTTCTTCGATTGCCCCCTCCTCCCTCTCCCCACCCAACACAGTTCCTGCTAAATCCCTGGACACCATCTCTCTTTTGCTCTCCATGATCCCAGTTCCATTCTCCTACAGCTGGCTCTACTCCCTTCTCTCCAAACTGCTTGTACCATTGCCCCAGCTGTTCAATTTTCCTCCCTCCTCTGTACACTCTCTCCATCCCCCTCCCTTGAGTTGGCCTGTTCTCCCTTCCTCCCGCGGGCTTGGCTCCACCCTGGCTGGCTCTGCTACTTCTACACCAATGCTGCCCTGCCACTGCCCCCCTTGCCTCCCTTGCCTCAATGCTCCAGCCTCTGGGCTTCCTCAGCACTGGGCAGCCATGCTCTGCCACTTTCCACCTCCCACACCCATTTTGGTTTCAGTTCCTAGAGAGAAAGAGAGTTGGATTCTGGAAGCTGAAATAAGTCCCCCTCTCACCTCTTGCATCCCCCAAATCCCTCCTTCAGGACTGCAGAGCTGGGGTGAGCCTCCATCCCCCAGGAGAGGGAAGATTGTAACTCCTGCCTCTTGGCATTGACCACCTGCCTCTCTCCCCTGACTCAAGGCCACACCTCCTTTCCAGTACTCCACACCCATGTGGGCTATCCCTGTGTACAGCTGTGAGATAGCCCTACATACAGGGTGTGCCACTCCACAGAAGGTGTGCACCAGCCGTCTCTGTGTACAGGCATACACAGATGCTGTCCCTCCTCACGGTACATGCACCATTATTTTGTAATGCCTTTCTCATGTACAGGCTTGTGCTGTCCCTATTGTACAGGCTTATGCTGCTCCCACTTATGGTTCCTGTACCATTACTGTGTATAGCTATCTACTATTCCTTTGTACAGACATGCCATCCCTATGTATAAGCTTATAACATTCCTGTGTACAGACATTTGCCATTTCCATGTACATGCATGTACCATGGTGTTGCCAAATTGAACATTATGAGCCTCAGTTTTCGTGACAGCTTTCTGATGCCTGCCCCAAGGGGACAGTTATCTCCCGCCAGAGATCTGAAGCATGATCAGGGGGTTGGTTAGGGGTGGGGGGATTCTCTTGGTGCCAACCTACGGAGAATGTTCTGCCTGGGGAATTGAGGGGCACAACTATATTGAGGGGTGATCTTCGGGTCCCTCCCTGCAAAGTACCAGGTTACAGAACAAGCCAGAAGGCTCGGCTCCATGCAGCAATGAGGACAGAAGTCATAGAGAGGGTAGTGTGGGGAAGTTAGTGGTTGGGTTCTTTGATGAGTCACCCAGGCCAAGGGTCTGGGGGATGGGTCTCTTCACCGGATAGCAGCGAACACTTCGGTTTTTACGTCGAGCCTGAAAGGCAGTGACCACGGAACCAAAGATGAAGCAGCAAACTAGACTGGCCAGAAATGAGAATGGTCCAATCATAATGATGACCACCAGGTCCCAAGGGGTCAGCAGGTGTGTACAATAATTGAATGAGGCTTCTGTGATGGCAGCCATTGGCCTGAGGGTCAGTCGGTCTGGGGACACACACAGCAGGGACTCTGCTCCTAGGGACACAATGAGGTGAGAGTGGGGAATGGGGGGTAGTACCTCCATAATACCCATATGAATTGACCACATCCAGGTTGGGCTTGGGGGCAAGATGGTAATCCCCATGCCCTCCACTTTTCTTCCATCCCAGGACTATGTTATCTTGGTTAGCCCATCCTCTACCCCCCACCCAAACTCCTCTAGTCCTTGACCTTGAATCCCTCTCCCTTCTAACAGACCTCCATCCTCACCTGGGACCTGGTGTGCATGGCTTTGCAGCCAGCGGCAGAGGGAGGAAATGGTGCAGTCGCACACCCAAGGGTTCCCATGGAGGTTCAGTATGCGCAAGGCAGGCAGCCTTTCCAGGACCCTCGAGCCCATACTAGAGAGCAGATTATTCTGCAGGTTTAGATTCTGCAGCAGCGGCAGGGGACCCAGCCACGTGGGCTCCAGCCGCATCAGCCGGTTCCCTGCCAGAGACAGGGTGTGGAGTGCACGAAGCGGCCGGAAGGTGCCAGGTTCCAGGGCCTGGAGAGCATTGGAACTTAGATCTAGGGACTTCAGGACCTCCAGGCCCCAGAAGGCATGCACGTGGATTCTCTGTAATCCATTGTCCTGAAGCTCCAGCGAGAGCAGCCTGGGCAGAAGAGCGAAGGCCCCTGGGGGCAAGAAGTCCATATGGTTGTGGTCCAAGAGAAGAACTTGGACACTGGGGTCCAGAATCATAGGCACAGAGTGCAGTTCCCTCCCAGAGCAGTTGACTTGCCCATCCTGCCCACAAACACACTCAGAGAGGCAGCTCCAGGTGGAGCCTGGGGCAGAGGGTGGGGACAGGATCATCAGCACCAGGGGCAGCAAAAAGGAGAAAATCATTGTTGGGCACCCTTCTGCCCCCCCACCCCGAAGCAGCTCACCCGGGCAGCCGAAGTCAGAAAGTGACCCTTAGGAGTCAGGAGGTCCTAGCTTAGGAAAATTCCTCTGGGTGTCTTCTCTCCAAGCTCTGCCCATCTATCTGTCCCTTTTGACGCTCACCTGCTTCTGAACAAATATTAACTCACCAGCTTAGAAATTCTTGTAGATCCTGTGCTGGGACAGGACTCTGTGGGGTGGGGGGTAGGGGGTGAGGCTCTGAGCAAACCCAGCAACTCTACCAGCCACCTGCTGGGCTTGGGGCCAGCTCCACGTCAGCACAGTTAAATGCCTTAGTGAGCACAGGAGCACCTAACCTGTCTTAATCGATGCCAGGCTGGGAGCTGCATGCCCCACTCCCCCGACAGTCCACCACAGGGCAGCACCTCAGGCCCTTGGACAGGGGCAGTGTGCTGCTCCTAGCATCAACCAGACTATGCCCTGTGGCCACTCAAGGTTGGAGAGAAGACTGAGGGAGGGGGATTCGCAACTCAACATAAGATCCTCAGGTAGGACGAAGGGGAAGGAGTGGAAATTGAAATCAAGGAACCAAAGGATCAGTCCAGGCTTCTAACCTAGGAGGTCCTTTTTTTTCTCCCTCATCCCATTCCAATCAGTTCCTTGCTCCATAAAGGCAAGGGGGTAAGTAGGATAGCACCAATATAACAAGCATGAGGAATTTCCCATTTCCATATCTAAGGCCTCTATCGGAGACGAGGTAGTCCGACGGCTTTGTCCTCCCACCGTGGGGACCAGCAGGGGTGTCAGCCAGAGACAACCTCTAGGTGCTTCCTGATCCCAGAACTTGGACCCCTTTCCCACCCCTTCCGCCTCAGGCTGCACAGCTGGGGTGGAGAAGACAAAGAGAGCCTGAAATGCAGTCTCTTTGAACACATCGGTCTGCATATGCTTTCTTGTGTCCTTTGTGAGCCCATCCGCATGTGCCTTTGCAAGCTTGGACCTGCATGTCTGCACTGATCCAGCTTGGCATCTTCATTCTTGCAGGAATCTGTCCTTCGCTCATATGTGACTGGGTCTGTAGGCATCTGTGCATGAAATGCTATGTATTAAAATATAGGTGCCTTCCTGGGTATAAATCTGTGTGTCCAAGTCTCTGTGCGTCTTGGCGGTGAATGTGACAATCAGTCTAGGTGTACGTCAGCATGTCTACATACCCAAACCTGTGTGGATCATTATCTGAGTTATCTCTGAGTCTGAATGGGAACCTGTGTCTCTCAGAATCCCTGTTCTGTGTTCTATCTCTCTGTGCCCATGAAAAGTAGCTGGTTTATCTGAATGTTTTCAGTGGGCCCAGATGGGCAGTTGTTGGGAGGAGATAGGACTAGCCTAACCCCGGTGAGATGGGAGATGACAAGACCTACCTGGTAGGAGGTATGTCAAGCCAGTTTTACTTCAGCTTAAGCCAGTTCCCACCATGATTGATCCAGCCCTGGGAGCCCAGACCCCTGACTTTGCTCCTCCAGGTGCAGGGTCTCAGAGGCAGGATCTGGACAGATTCCCATGGATATGCAGGTGTTACTACTTTTGTTGGCACACCCTGTCCTGTGCTGGGTGGTTCATTTCCTGCTAGGGCTAGGAAGGGGGAGGAGAAGGGAGACTAAGGAAATGTGGGCTGAGCCTGGGGCAGATTGGGAGAAGGGGCCAATCTCTAATGCTGGAGAGGCTCTGAAAGGAGGGTGCTTTATGTGTTGAGAGGCATTCCAGAAAGAAAGAGAGGCTTTTTTTGAGGGGATGAAGGGAGAGACTGTGTTCTGTCTTCCAAAGGATTCGGGTGAGGGGGTTTGGGCAGGGGTAAGAGCCATGGAAGAGGACAGTAGCTCTCAAAATCAAACCAGGCCCCCACTTTTAGTGGGGGATGACTCCTACCAACTAGTGGTTAAAAAAAAAAGTTCATCATTCATTCAATCCATCTCAAGACCACCATTATGGCCAAGGCAAAAAAGATGGGAATGACACCAACAAACTCCCAGGCTGCCTTGGAACTTTACAAACCCAGATAGAGACACCCACAGACTCAGATCCCTACACAGACTGACGCAGGCTCTGACTCACACAGGATGCCCAGACTGATAAAAAGTAATGTATTAATTTTTTTCCCCTCTCCCATTGTCTCCTCCTCCCTTCACCCTACTTCCCCTTCCGTCCTCCTCCAAGGGTGGCTCTTCAAAGGACGGTGCTACTTCCTTCTCCAAGTCTAGAAACTCCAGAACTTCCTCCAAGATTTTAGGGACCTCCAGCAACTCGAGCACCTTATAACTCTTGATGAAACAGTTCTCTGATGGAACATTTAAGGGGCTGCCTTCCACACAATGTCCTGGCAGTATGTTCTTTTGGTTCATTACCACAGATGTTATTTGTTTGTGGCTTCCTTGTAACACACAGTGGGATGGTGGCCACATGTGAGAGTAGCTCCCCATCACTAAACACTGGGATGATGTCCTATGACTGAGTGAGCGAAGTTTCAGCCAAAGTCGAGGGTTAAGAGCAAGGAGGGGGCACATCTGGACTAGATGACCCTCCCCTACCAAAGGACTTTGGGTGCTCTTACAGTTCCAAGATCCATATCATGGCATCATAACAGAAATGTTGGGAAGACTCTCTTCACTCCCAAGAGTCACCTAGTAAAAGGAAGTTTGGCCTCCTCTAGAGGACCAATGGGATGTGTGCACGAGGAAAGAGGGTTCATCAGTAACTGAAGCCTGATGTAATGGCCCTTCGGAGAGGAATAGGAGAGAGAGGAACCAGAAGTAGCTTAATCTCTCCCTTTCTTCCCAGGCAGAGCCTAGCAGGCCCACCCCCCTGAGAAAGGTCCCCATCACTCAGTTTCCATATAGCTGGGCTAGCCACTGAGATACATGAAGGTTGGGGAGCAAGCCCACTTTCCCAGAGAACCTTCCTCTCTCCTACCCACTACCCACTTCAAGGACCAGAAGGACCCTGGACTAGACATCTAGCTCAGGAGAATATTTCTTCTACCTCCCCCACACACATCCTCAAGCCCCCAAATATCCCTATATGGCCCCCCATGTTTCTTCTTCCCTCATGTATTCCCCATACCAGTCCTATATTCTATCCCATGTTCTCTTCATACTCTATCCCTTTCTTACATAACTTCTTTATTCCAGATCCCATATACCTCCTACACAACTTCTATTTCCCTCCCCCATATAATCTCTACATTCAGCTTCTTTTTCTATCTCTACATAATACTGTACTTCATTCTGAAACCCCAACATAATGCTCACATCACCTCTATATGCTAACTCTCTATATAATCCTTATCCTGCTCCTATATTCCATCTTCCCATATAATCCAAATAGCACCTCTATATTCCATCTCCATTTTAGCCAATACCTTTTCCATATTTATCACCCATATAGTCTTTATACTCCCTTCCATATTCTATCACTCAGTCCTCCCACATCTTTCCCATAACCACTTCTTCCTCCCCTCAGACATTCCTATATTTCTCTACATATCTTCCCATATCTAACCTCCCTCCTCCCTCATATACTCCCTTGAGTATTGTACATGCTGCCCATAACACTGACTAGAGCATCTGCTCCCCACTTGGAGGACCTAAAATGGCCACTGCCCAGCTTGGTTGGCAACCATGGGACCCAGTCTCCTCCTGTCACCCCTGCCAACTGAGAGAGCTGGGAGCTCCTCCTCAGCTCCTGGTCCACCCCCCACACACCTCTTGGTACGAATAATGCTGATGACCACAAGGAGCAAGGCTGAGAAGCAGCTCACACTGACACCTCCAAGGACAATGAGTAGGGTGATCAGGGCCTCCCGGCTGAGCCCCAGACCACACTCACAGTACTTTCCATCAACGGAGACAGAGTCTAACCAGGGAAAGGAAACAAAGGACAATTGATGAGGGATATCAGAGAGAGGGGAGGATGAGAGAGAAGGAACCCCCTTTCCCTCTGGGGAATTTTTTATATCCCCCCCAAACTCTGATGTCCATAATCAGAGGTAGTGCAGGTCATGTAGGCTTTCTCCTCAGGAGGAATAAGTTTCACCCTTCTCACACTCCTCTCTCTAGCCCCAGGAAGGCTGTGAGTGGGGAGAGGAGCCAGCAGACAAGACATGAGACTTAGCAAGAGAGACCAGAACCAGGAAATCACAGGGTCAGGGAACATATTAATGAACCCTTTTTCTGCCCAGGCTGGGCAGCTAAGAATGGGGGAAGAGTAGAGGGAAATAGGCAGGTCCCACAGAATTCACAAGCGTGAAGAACCTCGAACCCTCGAATCATCTACTCCAACCCTCCTCACTGTATAAATAAGGAATCCTAGGCCCAGAGAGGTTTAGTAATTGGCCCAGTGCCACACTGGTGCAAAGCAGCAGAGTACCTGCAGCTGAAGAGATGCTGACAACCAAGAGCAGCAGGCATGGGATGCTGCCAACCAGTCCTGAGGGAGACTGGGGTCGGGGGAACATGTCCAGCCCCCAGTCCCTGTGGACAGCTCTGGGCAGGGCTTGGCAGCTGGAATGTGCTGACCTCACAGTGCCGGCTCTGGGCTGGTCCGTGGGAAGAGTGGGAGAAGGGCCAGACTAACTCCCTTACCCCCAGTTCAGGCCCTCCTGCCTGCCTGGTCACCTGAAGGACTGGTCCCAGGTAGCAGGGAAATCTCACCACTGTCTCCCCTACCTCGAAAAAAGGACAAAAGGTCACCGTGTACGTCTTACCCAATGGGTTTGACCTCAGAAGAGAGCTCAGGGCAAGGGGAAGAGGAGGGGAGGGCATGAACTTTTTTCTTCTTCTCATAAATCATGAGTTATAATAAGAATAACAGTGCTGCTCCCCCCATCCCCCTAGTCTTTCCCTTACAGCATGAGGCACTTCCTCATAAGGCAGCACAGGGAAGGGTACAAGGGCTGGGTCCAAGCCAGGGTGACACAGTGTACCTGCCTATCCTTCCTGCCTCAAACAGCCGAAACTAGGAGCTGCCAAGTCTGAGACAAGAGGACAATTGTGGGGATCAGCCAGCCAGCTGGAAAGAACTGGCTTGGTGACAGAGGAGACCTGGATGGTTGGAGCCTCTGGTGTCACCTGCAAGCAAGGGGAGAAGGGAGGAAATAGGGATAGGGAGAAGGGGAGGGGGTGGGG